AACAGCATACCACTACATAGAGGCCGATGGGCGTGTTAGGATGAAACTAATTGGCAGAGGTATCCACAGTTTGATGCCTCCGACTGCCAAGATGACCGGTGTAGCTCCGACAGCACGCACAAGCAGAGCAGACGATTCCTTCACTTCAACCTCGGTACATCGGTGACAACGGAACCTCCGACCCTAAACGTCGCTGGTGTGGCCATGCACATGCACATGCACATGTCTTGTTAGAGTGCTCTAGCCACACCAGCGGTGACATTGGCCAATCTCTACACGAGAATTGCGTGGCATGGCGTCAGGATCTACGTGTCCCTCCTCTTCTCCGCCACAACGTCGACCTTGTCTCATTCTCTCCGAGACGTTGACTTGCCAAAAACACTCTGCCTTGCTGTACACTGGTGACAGTTTGGCACCGGCCGTCAATCAATTCCAATTCCGTTTCACTTTTCGCATTGATTCCATCACGGCCGAGCCACTTCTTCCAGGTTGCGCCCCACCTTAGCGCACAGTCGAAGTACCGCCCTGGTCAGAAACGACGAATCACCGCGCGAGACGTTTTCCTTGACGACCGAGGCATCTTTCTCAAGCATCAATAGGTCCCAAAGTATGAGAAGCTACCACTTGGAACGCACAGAGAACCTAGCCACGTTCTAGTGTGTCATTTGGTTAAAGGCGTGCTGTAATTGACATTTTTCTTCTAGTCTTCATCCGTCCTATATACGAGCACACTGTTCACAGCATATCCGCTATATTTGTAACCATACCACTCTCACGACCTTTCGTACCCTTTGTTCCATTTTGCATTTTTGACCTTTTCACTGCATCACCACTTTTGTGTCGCTGAAATGGAGCTTGAACCAATCCCAGGCCCTCCCGGCCTGCCCATTGTTGGCAATACTGCAGATATCGATGCAAACTGCCCCATAATGTCAATGTGCAACTTAACCTTGAAATATGGTAAGTGACATCCCAGAGACCTCGCCGCAGCTTTCCCATGCACAGCCAATGCAAACCGTGGGCAAAGCGAAAAAAAAATCCAAGGAAACCTTGAACTTGTTATATTTCCATACTGCACATGGAACTGCATCGACCGTATCTGGTCATGACAGGATATTGCTATCCAATTTATAAGCAAACAACTGATCATTCCAGGCCCCGTATGGAAGTTTTGGCTGGGCGGCGAGCGAATTGTTGTTGCCGATCAGCGCCATATGCACGAAATTTGCGACGAGGAACGTTTCTCAAAAATCATTGCAACTTCTCTAGAACAGGTTCGCAATGGTGTCCACGACGGACTCTTTACAGCATATGGTCCGCAAGAGAAGAACTGGGGTATTGCACATCGCATACTAATGCCCCAGCTCGGTCCACTCGCTATCCGCAACATGTTCGACGAGATGCATGATATTGCCTCTCAGTTGGTGATGAAGTGGGCGAGACACGGACCTGATCACGTCATAAACGTCACTGACGACTCCACACGACTGACACTGGATACCATTGCCCTGTGCGCCATGGACTATCGATTCAACTCATATTACTCTGAACGCATGCATCCCTTCATCGATGCCATGGCCGACTTTTTGAGAACCAGTGGCGACCGGGCGAGAAGGGATCCCATCTCTCAAATGTTCTACGGTGCAGAGACTCAGAAATACTGGAGAGATATTGAACTGCTGCGCAAGACTAGTCTCGAAGTCATTGAGACAAGGAGAGAAAACCCAACCGACAAGAAAGACCTGCTCAACGGCATGCTCAGTGGTGTGGACCCAAAGACGGGCGAGAAAATGACTGCATGTCAACCATTCCTAGCTGTTCTCAGAAACTTCAACTAACATCAACAGGATGAGAACGTCATTGACAATATGATTACTTTCTTGGTCGCTGGTCATGAAACTACATCAGGACTGCTTTCTTTCACATTCTATTTTCTGCTGAAGAATCCCCAAGCCTACGAAAAGGCGCAGCAAGAGGTGGACGAGGTCATTGGTAAGGGTCCAATCACAGTCGAGCACTTGTCAAAGATCCCATACCTCAACGCGGTGCTTCGAGAAAGTCTGCGCCTACAACCAACCGCTCCTTCTTTCGGAATCACTGCCAAGGAGGACACTACTATTGGAGGCAAATATGCCATCAAAGCCGGTGTTCCCATAGTTACACTGCTCCCAATGGTAAGACAATTTTGCCAATTCGCGGTAGTAGCACAACAGCTAATCTCTCTTGCATCAGTTACATCGTGATCCTGCTGTCTATGGCGAAGATGCAGAGGAGTTCCGCCCAGAACGAATGCTGGATGAGGAATTTGAACGACGCAACAAAGAGTTTCCCGACTGCTGGAAGCCTTTCGGTAACGGCATGCGCGCTTGCATCGGCAGGCCATTCGCTTGGCAAGAAGCTCTCTTGGTGCTTGCTATTCTTTTGCAGAACTTCAACTTCACAATGGACGACTCGTCGTACCAACTCCAGATCAAGCAAACGCTCACCATCAAGCCAAAAGACTTTAACATGCATGCACATCTCCGCAACGGCATATCTCCCACTTCGCTTGAACGATCTCTAGCTTCGTCAAGCATCAATGAATCTGCCTCAGCCAATGGTGGGCCTGTCAAAAAAGCCGCGACTACCAGCGGTAAGCCCATAGCTATCTACTATGGATCCAACACTGGTACTTGCGAAGCACTTGCAAATCGACTAGCTAGCGATGCTGCAAACCATGGCTTCAAGGTAGATGTGGTAAACACCTTAGACACTGCTCGCGATAATCTCCCTACCGATAAGCCTGTCGTTATTGTGACACGATCTTACGAAGGAGCGCCCGCTGATAATGCTGCACATTTTGTCAACTGGGTGGGCACACTCAAAGAAAAAGAACTTGAAAATGTCTCATATGCCGTTTTCGGATGCGGCCACCGCGACTGGGCAAAGACTTTCCACAAGATTCCCAAGTATCTCGATGCTACCTTGGAGGAGCGAGGTGCTACCAGACTAGTGCCAATGGGTAGCACTGACGTCGCAGCTGGCGACATCTTCACTGATTTCGAGACATGGGAAGATCAAGTCTTGTGGCCTGCCTTGCGCGAAAAGTATGGCTCTACAGAGGCGGATGCCGAGAGCTCTTTGGAGACGACACTCGATGTCGAGGTCACTGCACCAAGATCGTCCACCCTCCGCCAAGATGTTCGTGAGGCTCGTGTTGAGGAGGTTGAGGTTCTTTCCAGCTCTGATTCCACAGAGAAAAGGCATATTGAGATCAGTCTGCCGTCTGATATGACGTACTCCGCAGGCGATTATCTCGCCGTCTTACCTCTCAACCCCAAGGAGAACATCCACCGCGCGATGAGGTACTTTGGCCTCACTTGGGACTCAATGCTGACAATCAATTCCGCTGGTCCTACTATCCTCCCAACCGATACCCCTATTAGCGCTACCGACGTTTTCGGAGCATATGTTGAACTTGCACAACCCGCTAGCAAACGCAATGTCCAAGCCCTCATCGAAAGCACCCGGGATGAGGCTGAGAAGAAGGAGCTCACTCGTCTTGCAGACGAAGCCTTTGGCTCAGAGATTACCGCGAAGCGAGTTTCGGTACTAGATCTCCTAGAGCGCTTCCCATCCACGAAGCTGCCCCTCGGTATCTTCCTCAAGATGCTACCGCCTATGCGTGTTCGACAATACTCCATTTCATCTTCACCACTGTGGAACTCGAACCACGTCACATTGACTTACTCAGTAGTTGACCAGCCAGCCCTTAGCGGACACGGACGGTATGTGGGTGTAGCAACAAACTACCTCGCCAACCTCGTGCCGGGTGACAAACTCCATGTCAACGTACGCTCTTCCAACCAGGCTTTCCATCTCCCCAAAGACTCACAGAATGTTCCCGTCATCATGATCGCCGCTGGCACTGGTCTGGCACCCTTCCGAGGTTTCATCCAGGAACGTGCCGCTCAAGCAGCAGCAGGCCGCAAGCTAGCTCCCGCAATTCTGTTTTACGGTTGTCGCTCACCCTCCGTCGACCTCATATATGGTGACTTGCTCAAGCGCTGGGAGGCCATGGGCGCAGTCTCTCTTCGTCTCGCCTACTCACAGCAACCCGAAGAGACACATGGCTGTAAGTACGTCCAGGACCGCATCTATCACGATCGCACAGATGTTGTCGAGCTCTTCAACTCTGGTGCCAAGGTATTCGTATGCGGGTCTCGTGGTGTTGGTGATGGAGTGCAGGAAACGCTGATCAAGATCGCGAAGGAGACGATTGGAGAGAAGGAAAATAGAGAGGTGGATGATGCAAAGGCCAAGGAGTGGTTCGAGGGTCTGCGCAACGAGAGACTTGCAACGGATGTTTTTGATTAAGCTAGTGGAGGCTGAACAATTGCTAGATAATCAGCTTCTTTTAGCAATTTAATATACATTGAAATCGATAAAGAAAGGGCATACTAAATGTGTATAGTCTATCTTGTCCTTTGGCACTATCAACTTGCTCTCCAAGTAGTAAAACAAAGCTTTCTTGGTCTTTTTGATATCAAGCCTTGCTCCTGTTTGGCTGCGAATCGTTGCAACCACTGTTTCAGACTCTCATGTGCATTTATAACTACAAAGTACAGGCGCAATACACTCACTAAAGGCGGTGTAGATACGTGTCAAGTAGTTCACTGGGGCTGTGAAAAGGTCGTCGCTTTGAACTTTTAGCAATTAAACACTGAAGAGTCTATTGTTGCAGCCTGCATTAGCTGCATCTTCCCAATAGAAAGCGGCCAATTATAAGCGAGCAGTGGCCTTGTGGCGTTGGCTGGCCCCCAATTCCTAGGTGCCATCATGAGCGCTCATGATTGTCAGCCGCACGCCATGGCGCGAGGTTGGACAGCTCCAAGCCTACACGCATCGTGGCGTTGCATATATCCTGCTGTGGCACGGAAAAACCCGTCCCCCCGCATTTTTATACTGAATTTGATTCAGACTTCATTTCCTTCTGTGATGCTACAATGTACCAAGCACATATGTCGAAGCGACCAGAGGCGCAACTGCAGCCTTTCCTGACGCATGATGGAAATCACATCGACGGGACGGCTCAAGAGGGAAAAGAAACACAGAAATGGCGGAAGAGCTTGTATATGTTTATCGCACTGGGACTCGCAGTCCTCTGTATCAATACCGGCTTCCTAGTTTGGGCACTGCGCACAAAAGGCGCAACGAACGGCATTGGCATACTCTACGAAGCGACCTGTGATTATACCAAGAAGGTCAACATTGGCGTACATTTGCTCATCAATATTTTGAGCACCGCAATTCTGGGTGCGAGCAATTACTGCATGCAATGTCTTTCGGCCCCCACCCGACCCGAGGTCGAAGACGCACATCGCAAGGGAAGCTGGCTCGACGTCGGTATACCCAGTATGGGAAATATCATGTCTTCTAGCTTTGGGGCGCGCAAGAAGATGTGTTGGTGGATTCTCGGATTGTCTTCGTTTCCCTTGCATCTTTGGTAAGTAGTATGGATGATCAAACTCGTCAACATACGCACTGACGCTTGATAGCTACAACTCGGTAGTCTTCATGTCCACCTCAGCCCAGACATACGGAGCCTTCGAATTTGGCCCCGAGACAAAGGCCGCAATTGAGAATGGCACTTTCAATGGCACAATGAACACTACTAGTGCGGGAGGTTATTATAGCAACCCATATGTCTACGGTCAAGTGTACGCAGAAGCTTTCAAAGCAGGGCGGCTTGAGAACCTTACACTCCGCGAGTGCATCGATGATTACAGTGCCACTTTCCAATCAACAAGAGGTAATGTCTTTCTCGTCGTTGACGAAGGCGTCATGGGAGCCGACGAGATATACGGCACATTCAACTACATCCAGCGCAGTGGTACATGCTCGGCAGACACGGGCACGTCATGGATCTACAGACAATTCGAAAATGAAGCCGGTGAGTGTTTCCAACAGCAAGCCGGTCGCTTCTTGCCTCGGCTACAGGATGATCCGTCGATATGGGCACCGTTTGCTGGTCACCCAGTGCGAAGTTGCCTCAGTGAGCCCACGGGCCCGACATGCAAGTTGAGCTTCAGTGTTCATCTCATGTTGATAGTCATTGCGTTCAATGTGGTGAAGATATCTGCCATCTTGATCGGCCTCTTCACTCTTCGCAACGACCCGATGTTAACAGTTGGAGATGCGGTGGCATCGTTTCTTCGCGAGCCAGACACAGTAGCGCAAAACATGTGTCTTGTGTCCCAGCAAAATATCCACACCGCAGGAAAAGGATGGCCGGCACAACAACAACCAAGGGCATTTACAATGAGCTCCGGCAGATGGTCTTCAGCAGTCAAGAGAGGAAAGCGATGGACCGTCCGTCTCGCGTAAGCATCTCCTTATCCTCCTCTTCTTCCCAACATATCACCCGGACTAACTCCCGCACCACAGCCTCTTCACAGGCATCAGCGTCCTAATCTTCCTCTTCTTCTACGCCTACATATCCATCCGCGGCGACAACAGCCTCCGCAGCATCCTAGGCATCGGCCTCGGCAACGTCGATCCCCGCACCATCGTCCAAGACGGCACCGCCTCTTCCGGCCTCACAGGCGTCTTCTCAAACGTCTTCGTAGCCAACTCCCCGCAAGTAATCATCTCCTTGATCTACTTCTCCTACAATGCGGCCATCACGTCTATGCTACTGGGAGACGAGTGGTCTGCGTTCTTTACTCGGTATAAGCCGTTGCGTGTTTCGACGAGTCGACGCGGACACCAGCGCAGTACGTATTTTCTGCAGCTTCCATATCGGTACGCGCTGCCACTGCTGGGATTCTCGACGCTGCTGCATTGGTTGGCGTCGCAGAGTCTGTTTGTGGTGTCGGTCGAGTTGTATAATATGCATGGCGTGCATAGTACTAGGCTTGGGGTATGCGAGCATTGGGATCCGGAGCTCGTTTTACCGAATGGCAAGACGTACAGTGGTAGCTGTGGAGAGGATTTTATCTCACTCTCGTTTTCACCATTGGGTATTTTGTTGTCGCTGATCGTTGCTGTTGTTTTGGTGATCGGTATGTTCATCTTGGGGAGGAAGAAGCTGAGTCCTGCGCCCATGGTGGGATCGTGTAGTGCTGCCATCGCTGCGTCTTGTTATGCAAGGCCGTATGAAAGTGAGCCCTGGGAGAAGGAACTCAAGTGGGGTGCTTTCACGCTACATGGTGACGAGCAGTATTTTGGTATGCCGCACTGCGGTCTCTCGAGTCTTGAGGTTTCTCAGCCTATTGCTGGACAACTATATGCTTAGTGCTGGTATGGATATCATGACATATGACTGGAACATTTGGAACACTATTGTTTTACGAGAAAGTATTTGCAAAGGGGTAATTTTCATTTTGACACTGCAAGAGTTCACAGGCTTGCCTGAGGAAACTTCGAAAAACATATCGATATTTCATAGAGAGTAATTCGTATATAGGAATATAATTTCTAGGGAACTAACTTCAATATGAACAAAACTAATGGACCGGCTAAAGCTTTGAAAAGTTGATACGAGAAAACTTTGAAGAAAGTCCTGGACTTGAAGTACCTTAGGGAAGATGGTCAGCGGGCTGGTGATGCCAGTATTTATATGTGCGGGTCGGCCCGATTAAAGTTGTGACTACATTTGTTACCGGGACACCGAAGGGAAAATGCCGAACCACCTAAACCCCGGCATTAATTATATGGCTACATGAACAAGTTTCCCGCTAGTAATATTATTATTCTTCGAGTTGTGGAAATACCTGACTGGGAGATGATGCCTCTTTCCACAAAACTCACATCAAAGAAGTAACATCAATGATGATTGAAGAAAGAAGATTTACAACCCACCATGTCTGATGCACCCGAAGCACCGGATTCATGGATCACCGTAGAATACCTGGGTCGACTCGCCATTCTAATCATCAACCGCCCCCATAAGCTCGGCGCCTTGACAAAAGACGGGTTCTACCTCTTGACCCAGCGCCTGCGAGAAATAGATACACACGACGAAGTCTTCATCACCATCCTCACCGGAACCGGAAGATTCTTCAGCGCGTAAGCCTCGCCCACCCCTTACTCTCCACACCCCTACTAACCCATTCGCTCCAGTGGCGTAGACGTCTCAACCAGCCGGCCCGTCGAGCCCGGCACCGACATCTGGCGCGATTCCCTCAGGGAAACGGTGTCCCACACGCTCAACTCCACCGAAGCATTTTACACGCATTCCAAGATCCTGGTGACGGCTCTGAATGGCCCTGTTGTTGGTATCGCGGCGGCGCTGATTTCGTTTTCTGATTTCATATTCTGCGCGCCCCACACTTACCTGCTTACCCCTTTTACGAGCCTTGGGCTTATCGCTGAAGGCGGCGCTTCAGTGGGGTTTGTGCGGCGTATGGGGGTAACTAGGGCGACGGAGGCGCTGCTTACAAGTCGGAAGATACTGGCAGATGACCTGCTAGCGTGTGGCTTTGTCAATAAGATCTTTGAGGATTGCGGTGAAGGCGAGGATGAGAAATTAAGGGAGCGGGTTATTGCACATGTTGATGAGATTTTGGGGGAGCATCTTGTGGGATCGAGCTTGCTTGAGACGAAGAAGTTTCTTCTGATGGGGATGAAGGGGCAGATTGATCAGAGTTTGGTAGCGGAGTTGATGGGGGGGCTGAAGAGGCAGGTCTTGGGGATTCCACAGAGGGAGTTTGAGAAGATTAGGACGGGGGAGAAGAGACATAAGTTGTAATACCAGCTCGTCGTTTTGAGAAAATGGTTACAAGTTTGTTCATGTAAGCCTGTTTGTATTTGTCTCCATGATTATTGTCAAGAAGTGGACCTAGTTCCGCTGGATTAGTCTCTATCCCTCCCTTCAGTGACCTTACCCTTACTCTAGAAAGCTGCATGGTGAATGATAACAAGATCCCCGTGTGATACATAGCATCAGATCCTAATATCGTCGGACCTAATTGCAAGCCCCTGATAAATTTCGGCATGCACTTTGAAGGCATGTGGACTTCACTCCGCGCTAAGCTGCGGCCCGACACCATCCGCAAAACGCTACTCCAGGCCCATGACTGGACGGGCAGAGAGGCCCTTGCAGACGGACTTGTCAACGCTATTACTCCCATAGGTAAGATGTTTAATGCAGCGTTGGAGCTAGCGCGGAAGCGGGCACCCAAGGCTAAGACGCGCGTCTATAGTGTTTTGAGAGCTAAATGATACGGGGAATACGACATGGGCTTTTGCTTTGATTCGCTATCTGGATTCACGCGAACACGAATATGGAGACTATTACGAAGATTCAAGCAGCGGTCTTTTAGGCTGGGGTTGAAATTTTAAACAAGGCTATGGATCAACAAAGGGGCGAAACAGCTTTGTGTTTGAAAAGGCGACATGATATGCAATATTGTACAAAGTTTTGGAACTGATTTGCGTTTTCTCCTTTCACTGAGATGTGAATATCATGGAGTATGAGCATCCACGTTCGCCGCACTATCTTTACGCGTCCACCTGCTCCAATTGGACACGGTTCTCGTCATTCCGCTCTCGCCGTTCTTGTTTTGCGGATCCGTAGATGAAACCGAGCTCTCTGCAGTCTTTGGCGGTGATTCCAGTCCAGGAAGTTCGTGAGAATCTGGTATAGTTGCCAACATAACCTGCCCTGGCCTGTTCTGGCGCGATTCCCAAGATTCGCCTTTATGGGTAAAGTGGTGGATTAGGGGCCGGATGGTGGCGAGGTTGGCGGCGCAGATGGAGACACCGACTTCGATTGTGGACCACATGGAGATTTCGACGGTTGCGTCTGTAGAGGGTAGAGTGGTTAGGATTGACTGTAGTGTGTGTTTTATCATCGTTTGCTTACATAGAAAGTCTGGGTTTTTGAAGTTGGCAACGTAGGGCATTCGCACGAGGGCAGCGTAACTTGCACTGTTTTTGTTGTTAGTCTAAGTAGTTCTTGCAAAGAGCTTTCTTGACTTACATGCATGCCAGACCCAGAAATGGCGCTGTCAAAACCTTTGTGCGGCGGTCAATTTGCAGTTTCCAGATGAGCGCTCCGACCAAGATGCCCCAAGCTATGTCTGTTCCAGCAGTGACAGCTCCATAAAAGTATGTGGCTATTATCATGATTTCGATGTCAAGGCACTTTCCATTAATATCTCCTTGTAAGCGCGTCCAGAAAAAGCTGACTGGCATGCACTGGAAAACACTGAGGAAGAAGAAGCCGAAGCCGACCACTGCGGCGAGTATCGTGATAGCATAGGTCGTGATACGGAAGACTGGCTTGCTGCCTGTGGCTCTAAGGAAGAAAAAACCAGCGGATATTTTGGCCAAGGTGATTGAACATGCGTATGCCAGGAAGCATAGCCACCAACACTAGATGGAGAGTCAGATACTGGCGTGATTTTGGGAAAACCATATACTTACACGCATAGCATGCACTGAGTCGGTTACAGATATTTCCGAAGTTCGTCGACCAGTTCCATAGTGGATGCCTGTCAACAAAGTCCCAGTGTACCACATGTGCATGATCTAGTAAACCGTAAGTACGATGACGAAGTGGCAAAGGATTTCAAACTGTGCAAACATACAAACGCAAGAGTGATGAACGTATCATCAGAACCCCAGGCCTTAACGATACGCACACGAACGAAGCAGCGGAGCGCAAAAGTAACGATACCCAGCGCACCTAGGAAGGCGCAGGGTATTCTGAGTTGCTGGGGAAGCGGGAGACCCATGATGTCGAGTAGTTGTTGGTAGCAGAATAACGCTAGATTGTGGAACGAATTCAGCACCACCAGGTTTTATAAAGGAGTCTCTCGTTAAAAGGGCATCTTGAAGTCGTACTGCCGGTGGCGACTCAGCTGCTACCTGGCATAAGGTTTGCGCGGGCCTCCTTAGATCACCCACGCGACGGGACGGAACACTATCCACAGGCGATCGCCCCCGTTCTGCCTGGCCCCTGCGACATGCAGCTGGCTAGTTACAGGCTTGATTTATCCCCATGTTTTTGGTGCACATAATGACATTATGGCCTGACACATGTGTACCAGAGCTGAGCCTTTTACTATACTGGTACGACCCTTCCGTCCGCCGAGGGCCCCTTCCGATAGACGCTTGCTTTTTCTGGCCGGGCCTCCACATGTGTCGGATAAGACAAGCTGTTGGCGAACTACTTACTCGTACAATTAATTCTTGGTTCGGCACCAGGGATTAAGTCCTGGCTATGCTTAGATCGACGGATTGATGGCCTAGAACAGCAGCGTTTGCGCATCTCCTTCCATCTAGGTGGCAAATGCTTCGTGGTTGAGTGCCTGCAAGACGATCACGCAAGAAAAGGGGAATCAGGTTCTCCGATCTTCTTTCGCTTGCAATGCTCATGTTTCAAAGCGCAATTACGCAAGTTGGCATGCCACGAAATTACATGCCTCGTATACATGTCTGAAAGTTGGCACTACCAAACTACTCCACACGACCTAAAGGCTACTCCAAATCATGTTGCTCATGCTGCACCGTGCAAGCGGGGAGCGGGTAGCGGACGGCTGTCAAAACCGATCGCTATCACTACCATGACTAGCCGCTGATCCTTGTGCAATCATCCCATTGCGCCTGAGTCAGGGACTAGGGTTGCCACCAGTTGTTCGACTAAGACGCCTCACAGTTAACTATACGCAGAGCAGAGAGATTGGCCATTCGTCACCAGCTAGAACTCGTGGGTATTGGACCACTGCCTTTCTCTCCGCGGGCACTAGTAACAGCTTCGTCGTGGTCGTCATTGCGTCGTCACGGCACTCGCTTCACGCTATGGAAATACTAGTGATGCCACCAGCCAAAAACAATATGGGAAAACTCAACAGGATTATTTGCGCAGTTATCGTACATCACTGAGTCTCTGTATAATATTGTGCAAGCCTTGATTCAGTCCACGTCGCAGGTATGTAGGTATACGAGATAAGAAGATTAGTGTGATAGACCAAAATACTCCAAACTGAAAAACCAGCCAAGATGTCTATTAATTTACTAAAAGCACGGAGCCATGTGCCCAAGGTGCTGGAACAAACGTTGATAACTACCAAACCCTATCGTCTAAAATTATTGGAGTCAACGGCACATCTGTATATGTGTGCTCGTGCCCCTGCCCCCACATTTCCAACTCTACAAAACTTACTACGCACCTTCTCGCTTCCAATGCGAGTATTCTATAGGCGGGGAAGCCATGCAAGGTACCGTAGTCTCAGCTAATCACTTCGGCAAATGTAAGTATGTGCCCCCAATAGCGACCTACAGCAGCCTGGGCCCTTTTTCAATATTCATCTCGATGCAATATCACGTTGCATGAGTGACTCAATCTAGCTTCTGTAGCTGTATCACAACGAACCTCTATTTCCCCAAGACGATGGAAAAAAATGGAATGTGATTGCAACATCGTTATGGAACATACGAGGGATTGCTGATCTTCGGACATACGAACAACTCCGCTGACATAACACGCAATAACCCGCCCATCGGTGGGGAGCGCATCCGCCTTTCCGTATATGGTAAAGCCAATCATCCCGACAAACATGTGCGCGCACTGATCCATTCTTTGCGTGTATTGATGTTCTAGGCGAGGATCATCAGGAGACGGAGGGTCACGGATGCAAGAATTCAGGCTTTTGGGTCGGCAAACCTGCATTGATATTCTCCGGCTAGCATGACAGCACTAGATGCATTTACCCCATTGGCGAGAAATTCAGGCAATAGCCTCAGATTCTTAGTCGAAAGCTATTCACGTTGGTACTTTTGGTAAGTTTTTTGTATCTGGGTTCAGTTTCCACATTCCAAGATCTTCATCGTGTGTAAAGTCTGTGTCTGCGTAGCGAGACACCCTGGGTAACGAGACGCTTGCGACGCTCCTATGGTAATATCACTGCAAATCATTAAGTTTACGAAGTTATGCATACAATCCTTCAACTTTCAGGCAATTGAAACTGTTCTAGAACTCGATGCTTTCATGGTCTCGACAACTACCCGGGGCTTGCGAATGTCGTTGCGTTTGAGGTCTGTTACCTTTAAATACCACCCGTTATGCTAACATCAACCAAGCCGGACTGTTCTCCGTTCCTTTAGTCAAAAGCAAAGATCCCAATGTGTTTCATAGGAGCTTATATAGTCGAAGTAAGGAACAATTTTCAGCAATACAGGGCTAAATTCCATGCACCCAACGCGTTCGAAGTGCTGCCCTTTATCATGTACAACTAAGACAAAGATGTCTTCATAAGGCCCGAGCTCGGAAACGTCTTGGTATCTGCCTATGACTATGCCTAATAAACTGCCCCGGTCGAGATCTGGCGCGAAGTTCTGCTGTGCATCATTGCCCTTCTCGTAGGTCTTGTACAATGAAGACAAAGGGATTCGGAGAGTCCGTTCATCGTTTTGAAATACAGCGAAATACCCAGAGATATTGGGAAAATGGCCCATTTTGGATCGATATCTCTCCATCCAGTCGCCTGCCCCTTCAGGCATATATTGGATGGTCATAGGTATCGTCCAAGCTTCGACATGAATAAATTTGCTAGACGAATTACTTAGTTCCTGCTCTAGTGATGCGTCGTTATACTCATCCATATCTGAAAGCAACCCATCATGGTTCTCCATGAAAACCCTCGGTCGGCTTTCGTTTTTGAGTTGAAGCCCTTTTTTGCATAATGAATTGCTGTATATAAACGGAGAGGTCCATCCCGCCCAGCTCCACGTAGGAAAGTGGGTTCGCCTAGTTCCCGATGCAGTATTTCTCCAGGAAAGTCCCGCAGCGAAAGCCTCACTCCTACGTTGTGCTGGGTTTGATCTTCCAAATGGTCCTGCAATTACCGCTGGCATAATTGGAACACCCAGAACTTGGCGCACAGGGAACTCCTTTTTCTTGAAGTTGTTGAATACCCCTTCAAAAGCACATATAGCATCAGCTTCAACAGATAGCTCCCTTCCACTGTATGCCCTCAAATGATCGCAAATTGTCCAGGGACGATCCTCAAAGGGGCTGGCTCCGTCGAAGATACTGAAACGGTTGATCTGTTGAAAACTGTCCACTGTCTCATACGCAATAGTACCCCGACACTGGTAGTAGACTTGTTAAATTGTGAAGACCAGACGTCTAGTGGAGAAAAAGCTCTCTTGATAAGTCCACGCGCGTTGTATCCATTTAGAGGTTTTGATGGTCTCCCGTGGGTTCGGGAGAATTGACACAAGGCACGTTCCTTTGATCCAAGCTTTCTTTTGGGGATCTCTGGATGTTCCGATCCCAGGCAAGCCAAAATATGGATCAGTACCGGCTGCAGCAATTATAGTTATGAACGCATTCTGATATATGAGATCCATCTGCTGAATTTGGATATGTTTCTCAGTATCGTCATCTTGGTTGATACAATACCTATCGATCCAAATGTATCGAAGACCCAGCTCTTTGGTGACTTTCAAAGCATCTTCGATAGTCTGCGGCAGGGTTGTGGGAAGCTCATTATGAATAGACCGATCCTTATTGCCGAACCCGTTCGTACCCCATACCTAGCTGAGCGTGGAATACTTAGTTGATGGTAATGCTTTTATGATTCGTCGCTGTTCGCAGTCAATCAACTTCAGGTCTTTTAGGTCCGAAGTTGATGAGGTGGCTTGGACGCACTGGTTCGTATGCTTTCCGATGCACAATCTCATCCAGCCTCGAATAATGCCGAAGTCGATTGATCTTGCATCAATCGAACGAGCACGCAGTGAAGCTATGTGAAAAGTTGACTCTGATGTTATTGAAGATGCGATAAATCCACTGTAGTCTCCTTTGAACCTCGCTGGGGCCCAAGACCTTGCTTGCCAGCATTTACTGGCTACAGCTAGCACAGATCCAGCACCGGAGTCACACCCTATTGGAGGACCCGATGAGTATAAAGCATACTCGTCGTCTTCAAGGTTTTCGCCATTCCGTATCTTCACCGCATAGAAAAGGCGACATAATGGACATGGCGACAACTCGGTCTCTGGCCCAAGTTTTCCGAGATCCATCAATTTGTTCCCTGTTGATTTGCCCTTCCAATCAACAAAAAGTTTTTCAACATCAATACATGAACACCTGGAACATAGAGTATCCTGTTTTCGACGTGCTGCTTCTGGATGTGATTGGGGGGTGGCCTCGTTATCCGAACATCCCGCAGCCGGTGCGGCAACAAATCGCTGTCGCTTTTGTGAAGATGCTATTTCGGATGCATCTGATGATTGTATTCGTTTCATGATTTATTGAGATTCTTGGAGGTGAGATACAGCAGTCTATCTGCGGCGTAGGAGTGAAGATGGATGAAAAATAATGGCTGTCGCGTTGATTTAACGACATCGGTAGTGTTACGTACTATATCCTATCGGATGAAAGCGTCAAAGTCCGATCCAATTGCGCAGTGTAGTTTTCTAGAACGGTAGACAGGTCTCAGCCTAGTTCTCTCATTCTGTACGACCTGCTTGTTGGTGTTCGGTTTGCCACGTATGTGCTGCCTAAGTGGCGTGCATGAACGTCTTATACATACATGCAAGTGGGAAGATGCCCGGCCCGCCTTACCTCTAACCTTGCCTCCGGAATAGGAAGACTGTATTCTATATTGGTTCGTGAAAAGGGTGTAAGGGGTGTATTGTAGGATTGATCTTGGACTTCTCAGTGAGATGCTGCTTGTCTACTATTTGCGTTAGTAAGCTACAATGGAAAAGCACTGCCACACCGGCAGTGCCTTTGACAACACTGAAGGCTGTACCTCCTCACGAAGGAAGAAGTGGCACGGGCCATTTTGATCTTTTCTACAAAGCGAAATTCTCGTGACAGTTTATCTATATTATACGATATAAGCTGGCGGTATTTGAGCAAAGAGCATAAGTAAGCTTTCTGCGCACTTAAGGCCGATAGAAGGCAGGTGATGGGGTGGCTATTGCACTACGCTCTTATATTGCACGGTATCTCTAGCATATACTGAGAAAATATTTTTTTCTAAGTTTCATAGAAAGTGTCGTTGTGAGAAGCAAAAACTATAGCGTCTCATTAAGCAGAGTGTCTCGATATTTACTGACGAACGTGAGCGCCCCACTTATACATCAATCTCGAACCACCATCACTACCACCAACGTTACAAAACCCCTGCACATTAAACTCGCTGTCATCCAGACATGCCCCTGGGAACTCAGTGTTCAGCAGTCAAACTTAACACGTAACCACAACGATCTAACTCCATGGCGACGCTCAGCGCGTAGTCTTGGCAAAAATAAGGCAACATCCAAAGTAACCTTCCTACACCCATCATAACCTCGCGCAACCCGTCTTCTACAAACACCCTTAAAAAATGCTAGACCTGGCCTCCCGCCGCAAAATCTGCGAAGAAACAATCTTGCGCTCCGCCTCGCTCGCCTCCTCTCTTCCCACTGGCACCCTCACCAGCACCTTCATCCCCTCTCAACTCCCACCCCTCCTCAAATCCTCTCCTTCCTACCCAAACCTCTCTCTCCACCCCATCCAGATTCTCAATAGCGACGCATTCGCCCTAGCCCGGCGCTTCCAAACAACTCCCCCACACCCATCTTCCACAGCCACCCCGAAAATCGGTGTCTTGAACTTAGCCTCAGACCAGGAACCGGGGGGCGGCTGGCGCTACACCCTCTCCCGGACGCAAGAAGAGGCGCTGTGTTACTCGTCGACGCTATATGCCACGCTGCGCCCCGAATGGTATCCCTGGCCCAACACGGGCCCGGGTTCGTGCGCGGGAATCGTGTCACCCGGTGTAGTCGTGTATCGGGATACGCTAGATCGGGACTTGGCGGAGTTGAAGGAGGAGGAGCGGTTCAGCGTTGTGGTTTTGACGGTTGCGGCGCCGAGGTTTCCGCGGGTAAACGGGGATCGGAGTGAGTTTGCGGATGAAGCCGAACTGGGGGATTTGAGGGAGAAGATTGTGCTTGTGCTGAGGATGGCGGCGCAGCAGGGGGTTACGAGGTTGGTGCTGGGTGCGATGGGGTGTGGGGCGTATGGGTGTCCGCCGCGGGCGGTGGCGAGGGAGATGAAGGAGGTGCTTGGAAGAGAGGAGTTTGAGGGGTGGTTTGAAGTTGTGGGGTTTGCGATTTATGCGGTGGGAGTGGCGGGACGGAGGAATTTGGAGGTTTTTAAGGAGGTGTTTGGGGTGGAGTAAAGAGGGTTGTCGGATTGATGGTGACTGTGAATAGTTGCATATATACGGGGAGTGACGATGCTGAGAAGCTTGTTAAGCAAGCTTGAGTTCAAAGCATAATCACGGAGTAAAGTAAATACAGGAGAAGATAAACTACCACTCAACCAGCCAACCCCCTCACATCACCTCACTCTTTACCAAGATTCCAATCTCCTAAATCTTACCAACACCAGCCGTGTTCGCCACATTCGCGCTCGCCGCCGAAGCACCCGCGACATTCTTACCACCAAAGTTTGAGAAAAACGACGTATCACTTCCACTCAGCGAGCCACTGCTTCCAAACGCGTTAAGCTGGCATGCATGGCCCAGGTACTGACTACAAGCCGCATTTGCGCTCGTCGACGGCGATGCAAAGAACTGACCCGTATTCGCCAACAGGGGAGTTGCAACATTTTGGAACACATTGCCCTCCGCAACAATCTTGCCACCCTTCTCATTGTCAAAAGCATGACCCGTGTTGCTGTAAAAGTAGTTGTTAACAGCATGCAGCAGGGTGTTGCCGCCGACTTTCGGGCTACGACCGGAAGTGTGGTGGATGTAGTTGCCCTTCAGTGTAATAAGGTCGTTGGACCCGATGAGCAGTATGGTCCAGTAGTGGCGGTTGTTGCAGGTTGCGGACCACGAGGTTGAGCCGTCGAATTCTGTGTTGGAGACAGTAACGCGGTTGGAGGCGCCGTAGCCGGCTACGAACATTTGGCGGCCGATGAGGGAGATTTTGCAGTGGTCTGGTGCGGAGAGGTTAGATAGGGGAAGGAGATGGAGATGGGGGTGAAGAGGTAAGATACGTACCGACCCATACTAGATCAGCACCGTCGAGGGTGATGGCGTCGCCACCCCAGATGTATTGGGGGTTGAGCTCAGTGATGTGAATGTTTTGGATGATGATGTTCTTTGCTCCATTTGCAATACGGAGACCCTTGCCGCGAATCACGCCTTTGTTGCCGACACCGATGATAGACTTGTTGGAGCCTAGGTTGATAGCATTGATTCCAGCATTGTCGTATTTGACTTGGATACTCGTTGCTCCAGCGCCAGCATTGCCATTGGTACACCAGCTAGCCTGGTTGATGGCATCCTGACCTCCGTTGCCTGGACATTTGTTGGATGCGGGACGGCAACCAGTCGCAGTGGTGGTGCCCTCAGTGCCCTTGAAATTGAACTCGCGGTCTAGCACAATGCAGCGGGCGGTACTGTCGGTGAGCCATGTCTTCAGCTGGGCGACGGAAGAGGGGATCTGGCATGCTGCGTTACCACCTCCTGTGGTACCCTTGCCAAACCCTTCAGGTGAGCCCTTCACGCCGTATGCCTGTCTTTCGCCAACGACTGCAGCATTGGCGGTATAGGCAGTCGCAAGAGCAAGAATAGACAACTTCATGATGAAACCGGGCCTTCAGAGAGAGGCTTCTTTGCAGATTACAAGAGAAAAGGAGAGTAGAGCTGGTTTCTTGTGTAAAACAAAAGGGCATCATAAGAAATACCAGGCTCTTTATTCATTTCTGTGCAAGTCCAACACTGGCTCGGTGGAGCGCCTGTCGGGAATTATTCCGAAGCCATTTCTTTTGCAATCTGGAATATGCGTAGAAACTAAAATGCTTCACGAATCAGTACAAGTTTTTCCACGAGCATAACGGAGAAATCGACAACCTGCAGCGATAAGAGCACTTTACAGTAGGGTCGGCACACTAACGCAGTATGGATAGGTGAAACATATAGTCATGGGGTTGTGAATGTCCAACACGATTTACACAAGTGCCATTGGCTTTGGTCACTTCAGGGTTGCATCTCCGAGCCGCCATTTGTAGTAGTGTGAGCGAACAAAATGAGCTTTGGTACGCATATCACTTGGGCTGCGATCAATTACAATTCTTGTCGTGGGAACGCAGATGTTTAGTTAAGCAAACGTGGCTGTTGGTATATTTCCTTTCCCCTCTTTTGTTTGTCTTGCAAGCGGATATGGTCAGTTGACGAGGTTTCGTAACAAGGTCGTTCTTAAGCGGTGGAAGAATACTGCGGGATCCCGCAATTGCATAGACTAGGGTTCATGAGGTGGGTGTGGGCATGACGACCATGTGGGACCCCAGGCTAGTACCCTCCGTCTCCACACGTTGTCTAGCCAAGAGGCCGCCAAGTGCCGCTTTCCAGGTACCTGCTCTAAACAGATACAAGCGTCTCTTGGCACTGTTCCGTCAGATAATGTGTATCCACCGCTAAGATGAATTCAGGCTTCGTTGAGTGTTAGTCTCTATCCATCATCCACAAAAAGGAGTTACATCTGAGGTTTGTGCTCCCAAAAACAGTGAACACAGTATGAGATTGGGCAGTACTTTTTGTGCATTTATATCGTTGATTTATTCATGTGCGCAGCCCTTCATATTTGTGACAAGAGCAGGCTGAGCATGCTATGATTCGGAGGAAACCCTTCTTCGATACCGTCATACTTAGACATATTCCCTGTCGGCATAACTCTGGATCATGCCTTTGGTGGTTGCTTCGTACTCGACAAGTTCTACCTTGCCGTCTTTCTCGACCGTGTTGGCTTGCACAAATACCTTGCGTGGCGTCTTCTTTCTCAACACAGCTGGTCTGACCATGTTCTCGTAGAAAGGCTCTACGCTTGTGATTTCATCGTACATACGCTTCGCAGCAGCCACGTCTGCGGTAGCCTTGTAGATGTGCAGCTTTTGGAGGTAGTCGTCCACGGCTGGTCGGCCAAGGTCGAGAATGCGGTCGCGCTCAAGGCGAATCGTTAAGTCGGAAAGGTCTTCCTTCTCCCATTCAAGTTGGCAGAATTCGACGCCCGCGTTGAGGAAGGTTCGCAAGATAGAGAAGCGGGCCTGCATGTGTGCCTGTCCCCACTTCCTACTCTTGGGGTCCCAAAACTCCAGGGCAGCGATACCAGCACGTGCCATCTGGAGATATGCTATGTACAGGACATCACCAGCCGCACTGTTCATGTCCACTTTTCCATCACCGAATCCGAATAGCTGCAGGATGGGGAACTCGCACGATAATGCCATGGCGACGCACTCAGCGCGACATTCCTCGTACGACGCGGCCATGGAACCAAAAGTTGAGCCCCATGTCTGGCCGGGCTTGTACCACGTTTTGATAGGCTGACCACTGAGGGGCGATATGGGTGGGTTCTCCTTGTCAAAATTGAACACACCAGGCTCCGTCTCCTGAAGTAGTTTGCCACAGCCATGACCGAGCAGCTCATGGAGTCCGACCTGAACCTCGAAAGCAGGATCGCGGTATTTTTGATACGTTTCTAGGTCACGTTCTTTGATAAAAGGAATAGGCTCGTTTGGTGCTTTCGCTGAGAGGATGTTTCCTAATGACACGTTCTTGAAGCCAAAGTTTTGCCGAATGTCATCGTAGTTGGGGATGTTGATACCGGCAGGAATACTGTAGGTGTCACCAAATGCATCAGCAATGTTCGATGATTCGACCACTTACCCGCTGCCAGCAAACGTCAATACCTCAAGTGAGGTAAAGTCGGGGCTCAAGAACTTGTCTTTCTCGAATGACTTGTCCCATGGCAGAAGTGGAATGTACTGTGGCGCACTCTCTACCAGCTTTCCAAATGCACGTGTCCGCTCCTTGTTGACCATGGCGACGAAACCTTCCCATTCACCACGGATGCCGTGAGGGTCGCGGTAGGTTTCTATGAAGCCAATATCTGATTCAACCTGGGGTCCTTTGTCCTGTACCCACGCCATCTGGCTCTTTTTGAAAGCCTGCAGTGAGCCACTACGGAAACTCTTGGAATACTCTTCCATCATCTCGATCTGGTGCTCGTTGGCCGCATACTTCTTGGCCTCCTCAATGTGATGGGCAATGGTGTCCATTTCCTTGGAGTAGTCTCCAAACACGAGCGTGACCTTTGTTCCCTCATCCATTGTCCATTCGCTTTCCTTCAAATCGCGCTGTTCTGCCGGGGGGTTATCGAGCGCCGAAGCAATGAGGACTTGGTAGCCATTGTCTGTCTTCCTGATTCTGGTGTTTTCTGGGAGAAGACCCTTGCCCTCGAGAAAATTGCTGACTTTGGATATCTCCTCGTTTGTGATGTTGGGACTGTCAGGGTAGTATGCCGAGATGTGTCCTGCACCCGGATAGCCTAGGTGCAGCTGTCCGACATCATCGCCTGCATATATCGAGTCTTTGATCTTTTCGTATAGGGCTAGTGTATCTTTGGAGACGGTGGCGAGGGCCTTGAGCTGGCGGGGCGGGAGTCGGGGCACGAACTTAGAGTCACCAAAGGACCTGTAGTTGCCCAGATTGCCAAGGAACTGGGCAGCGTAGTTGAGGTATGCATCGATGTCCTCTTGTGAGAGGCCGGCTTCCTTGACGACAGCAGCATAGTCGCCCTTTGTGTGTTTGTGCAGGGCGACAATGAAGTCATAGATGTACTCCGACTCAGGCGAGACTTGGCGAAGGACGACGCGCGATCCGGCAAAGCAGGCGCTGTGATGGGCGTCAGCTAGTCAGCTATGAAACATTGTATTCGGATCCTAGGGCAGATATTACATGGAGAGATGGTGGGCATAGAGCTTCTCCTTGTCGCTCAAGGCCTCAAAATGGGGCTTGATGGCCAAGGGCACAATGGCAGGCGGGTTGTCGGCCAGGTACTGCTTCAGCGTCTCAGCCTCTATGGTGGTCGACATGGCGACTGCGACTAGATGCTTTGGGATATGGCGGGGAATTGAGATGATGGCTACGCAGTCGAGTATGTATGAAGCTGTACATACACACGTTGTCGATTGACGGGCCGATGGGGGAGGGGGAGCTGATGCAGGGAGTCTGCGCTAACTTTGGCGGGGTACTTAGCTAGCCGGCTGCATTCCTGCCACCATCATCCTTGTCACACTCAGCATCGCCTCTACCCTATGCTCACTTCCAGCTTTCCTCATAGAAAACATCTGATTACAACCTCGATATATTACATATTAACTATCTACACCTTTGCCATGGCCTGGAGATACTGCTGGCTGTGTGGGTAGTCGACATAGCCGACGGGTGTCTTTGGCGTATAAAAGACACTGCGATCATATTTCGCCAGTGGCACGCTCTCCTTGACCCGGAACACGAGGTCTGGATTGGCCACAAAGTATCGCCCAAACGCAATGATCACGTCGTATCCTTTGTACGTTTCGTCTACCGCGTGCTTCGCCGAGTCTGGAAGAAACCCTCCTGCAAGCACCACAGGCGTCGTGTTGTTCCACTGCTCAATCATCCAGCTTACAGTCTTTTGTCCTCCGCATTCAGAGTCGTCGTTACCCGTAATGCGAGCTTCAATGAGATGGAGGTATCCGAGGCCAAACGGTTTCAACTCTTCCAGCACATGACTGAATGTTGGCTCCGGCTCGTCCATCAGCATAGCATTGAAGTCGCTGTACGGGCTCAGGCGTACCGCCGTTTTCTCAGCGCCAACAGCGGCCGCTACCATCTTGGTTACCTCTAGAAGGAACCGTGATCGCTTCTCGATACTTCCTCCCCACCCATCTGTTCGCTGGTTACATGTCGATTGCAGGAACTGATCCGGCAAATAGCCGTTCGCGCCGTGTATCTCAACGCCATCGAAACCAGCAGCAATGGCATTCTTTGCTGCGATCGCGTATTCCCCTATCGTTTCCCAGATTATCTCTTCTGTCATCTCCTCTGGTGTTTCATGTTCAGGACTGATTGGAACGGCGCTTGAAGAAATCATCCTTAGGCCGTTTTCCTTAATAACCTCGGGACTGGCAGCCCGGCCTGGGTGCCAGAGCTGACAATATATTATGCACCCCTTGGCATGTACTGCGCTGGTGATGTCTTTCCAGGCACTAATCTGATCCTCCGACCAGATACCCGGTGTGTTGCGACTACTAATAGCATTTTTCGAGATGATGACGGCTTCGCTGATTATAAGAGTACCTGGCACACATGCTCTTTGCTCATAGTATTCTATGACATATTGTCAAAAATTTGTCTTCGTAAAGCGCAGGAGCGGTGTATCCCCTACCTTTATTGAGCGATGTTGCTTTGTGCTCGTCGTCCATACGATAGCGAGTCAATGGCGCCATGGCTATACGATGGCCTAGCCCGGCGGACCCTACTGTCAATGGTTGGAAAAGGCGCGACATGTTGGTTTCTAACACTGGCACAGCTACAAAGCGATCGAGTGTCCTCTTTTACAGAGAGCGAATCGCCCCATTATATCCCTCTGCTGCTATCAGACAAGCGCGCTTGGGACCATGGTGAACCAGACATTTTCTGGCCCGTTCCTGAGAAAAACTCTACATTTCTTCAGATCGCTGGGGTTGTTCTCGGCAGACAACGCCCACACTCATTCCTAGCATGCTACGAATCCGCTCGTGATGCCGAAAACTCGGCGTAACCCCCCATCGAGTTAAGATGTGCTTCTGGAGCGTCGGATCAACGATGACGACAAACGTTGCCATGTGGGTCTAGCACACATCGGCTCAAAATGTGCCGAAAGCGTTGAAGCCACACTATCATTACCCCACTCACGCTCGCATCAATCACAATCGTCTCCACCATACACTCACCGAATCTAAGCATGTAACAGATCCTTCCAGCTGCAGTTTCTTCGGCTGTGTTAAACTCGATTACCGACGTTTTTCCGAATGAAACGTAGTACCGAGCATACTTTGTTAAGGAAAAGGGCCGCCCCGCTCGGGAGGCTTCCGATGCCTACGTTGCTGTCAATCTGCACGCTAGCCATCATGTCCGGACTCAACATCAGTTATTCATGTAGACTTCCTCCATAACTTGACATGTTTACCCAGCGCGCGAAAAACCCAGAGCAAACACATATACGATGACGAGCGAGCAGACCGCCACTGACCAAATGAACTCGATATCTTCCACCAAAAATGAAGACGCTCAAATTCCCGATGCGCCGGACAAGAACAGAGCCAACCAAGACGATCCATATTCCATGGGAATGTCTGTCTCCAACAATGGCAACGCACCACTCGCACCAAAGACCAAACAAGACTCCGACGATGAAAGTGATGCGGCATCCATTGGAGGTCAGCGGAATACCATGACCTCCACTCAGCTCAGAATCGCGATTCCAGCATTGTCGGTCTGCCTGTTTGTCTCCTTCATCGACCAAACAAGCGTTTCAACCGCAACGCCTGCAATCGCTGTTGATCTGAATACTGGAACTGCAACCTCGTGGATTGGCACATCGTTTCTGATAGCCTCGACAGCCTTCCAACTCATCAACGGTCGGCTTTCAGATATATTTGGCCGGAAAAACCTACTTCTCGTCAGCCTTATGCTTATGGCTTTGGGAGATCTCGGCTGCGGTTTCGCAAAATCGGATGTACAGCTTTTTGTACTCCGTGCTATTGCAGGTATTGGCGGTGGCGGCATTAACAGTTTAGTCATGATCATCGTTAGTGACATTACCACCTTGCAGAATCGTGGCAAGTATCAAGGTAGGGTTTTTCGTCAACTCGTGGCCATTTTTACTTACTGAATCCCTTTCCAGGTTGGCTAGGTGCAGTAATCGCTCTAGGCAATGGTGCCGGCCCTTTTCTCGGTGGTGCTATTGTCGAAGGTGCTACATGGAGATGGGTGTTCTGGATTATACCCATCTTGACCATCCCTACATCTCTGATCATCTTGTTCTTCCTGCCTTTGAAGCATCGATCCGGTGGCTATCTCGAAAAGATCAGAAAAATCGACTATGGTGGCATGGTGCTCAACATTGCATCCACACTCCTCTTACTAATACCCTTGTCCGGAGGTGGTGTTACTTATGCCTGGGCCTCTCCGTTTTTTATTGCCTGCACCGTCACCGGCGCCGTGTTGGGAATTCTGTTTGTCCTGTACGAATGGAGGTTTGTGGCTCTCCCAATCATGCCACTTCGCCTTTTTCGTGCCCCTCATGCCTGGGCGCTCTATTTGCAAACCTTCCTCATCGGGCTCGCGTATTTTGGAAATTTCTTCTATCTCCCGATTTACTTCCAATCAGTCCTACGGTACTCACCTTTAGTATCTGGTGCGTTAATTCTACCAGTGGTCATCACCACCTCTCTTACATCCATTGCGTCTGGCCAGTACATGAACCGAGTTGGTAGTTACATGCATTGCGTTCTCGCTGGATTTGCGCTTTGGACTCTTGGAAATGGGCTCACGATACTTTTCGACCGGAGTACCGGCCTGGCAGTGCTCATTGTTGTGCTCATTCTGGAAGGTGCGGGCATTGGCTTAGTACTTCAGCCTACGCTTGTTGGTATGTACGCAAACGGTCGTTCCGAAGATCGTGCTGTGACAACAGGATTGCGCAACTTTATTCGCACCATTGGTGGAGCGTTTGGTCTTGTCATTTCTGGAGTCATCCTGTCGAACACGCTTAGTCGTCACTTATCGCAACAAGGCTTCGTATCGGAAAGTCTGATGAGTCAGTTGACTTCCTCAACTTATAACCTCGACGGCTTTGGTCTCACAAAAGACCAGCAAGATATCGTTTTCAATGTCTACATGCTAGGTCTGCATTACATATTCATCTTCTTTACAGTATGCTCAGGCGTGAGCTTATCGTTGACCTTTTGGGTTGGGAACACGAGTCTGAAAGCACCAAAGAAGATGGACGAGGAAGAAACGGTGGCAACAAGCGTAAACGTAGATGCGCTTGAACAGGCAGCCATCCATGGTGAGGAAGTTGAGAGCGAAGGGGATGCATCCGATGAGAAAGAGGCAAACATAGGCGGAGACGCAAAGAACAAAAAAGGTCCATGAGGGCTAGCAGGGCCTTTCCGGATAAAAAGTGTATAAAAAATCCTATCATCTTGGCAGAAACATTGGAATGCATCATGTATAGACCCTGATGACTTCATTGCTTGGGAGTTTAGCGATCGTCCTCAAGCAATCTCACCATTGACTGCCTCGAAAACCAAAGTGAGAACCCCGCATACATAATTCGACGTGAGGATTTCTTGTTGCTTTACAATTTCTGAATTCATTAATTGAAACTGACTGCGACTGTCTCGGTATTTACTCGGCTGCTGTTACTGTCAACATAAAACGGTGCGGGGACGATAAGACTTCGCATCGAGGCGATCCGCCAGGGTACATTGAGGATTAACGCTGGGCATACACAACACAATTTTCTTTACTAATACAACGAACTGTTTCCTGTAAGATTTTCAGAGTTCCGAGTTCGGTAGGTTGCAATGTGGCCCCACAAAAACCCATGTCTTATCAGCAACCCCAGATTGGTGTGCCCCAGCCGTCGTAACACCTCCCTTTCGGGGCAACTTTCTACTTGCGGATCTTTCCAAGCCGATAACTTTACATCTTCCTACGGTAACATGATAACGTCACGGCCGATCCAGATCGCGGCCGTACGCTGGACGATCATCGTGGACGACGGCAGGGTCTAGCATGCGATCTGTTGCGTAACAACTTCGCGGGTGAGAACAGCCGATGTTCCAACTACGAGATACGAAAACTGAGGGGTTACTCGCTGCCACAAGTACTTAGACTCACTGCGAGAAATCTGAAAAGGATCGTGTGAATCAAGATCTGGATACCCTCCCGTCTACTTTCAAAATACCTCTGTAGTACCACTGTAACAAACCATCACCATGCCTGAAGTCTACGCTGCACCACAAGAATACGCCTTTCCTCGGAACTTCAAGGGATATGGCGAAAAGGGCCTTGAGGGGTTGAAATGGCCAAACGACGCGAAGATAGCCGTCTCTTTTGTTATCAACTACGAAGAGGTAAATCCAATCCCCTTCAATTCAAGTCATACACGCTCTAACTGTTTCAAAAGGGCGGCGAGCGCTCAGTGATGAAAGGAGACGGAGTGTCTGAAATCAATCTCCGCGAGTATCCTGCGCAACCAAGAATCAACGAGCGCGACTACAGCGGCGAATCTGAATTCGAATACGGCTCACGCAGTGGCTGGTGGCGTATGTTCAAGCTCTTCAACGACTACAACATGAAATTCACCCTCTACGCCGTCGGCTCTGCCGTCGAAGAGCAACCCGAAGCCGTCACGCGCTCCGTCGAAGAAGGCCACGACATCGCATCGCACGCCTACCGCTGGATCGACCACGCCAACCTCTCCGTCGAAGCCGAGAAGCAGCATATCAGAGACGGCATCACCTCTCTCAAAAAACTCGCGGGGTACGCCCCTAAAGGCTGGTACTACGGCCGTCCCTCCCCCCAAAGCCGCACCTTGATTCCTTTAGTCTACGAGGAAATGGGGGAGGAACTCCTCTGGGCCAGCGACACCTACGCCGACGACCTACCCTATTGGACTGATCTCCCCCACGAGCGCAACAGCCCCAATCCAAAGGGCTGTCTCATGGTTCCCTACAGCTACGACTGTAACGACTTCAAATTCCATACCCAAGGCACGGGATTCCGCAGCCCCGGTGCCTTTTATGAGCACCTCCAGAACGCATTCGATGTGCTGTATGAGGAGGGTGCAGCTGGGAAACCAAAGATGATGACGATTGGACTGCATTGTAGGATTATCGGAAGGCCTGGACGGTTTAAGGCGTTGCAGGATTTTGTAAAGTATATTTCGGAGAAGGAGGGGGTTTGGGTGGCAACAAGGACGCAGATTGCGGAGGCGTTTAGGGAGCAGTTTCCCTATAAGAAGGGGCAGCTTGCATAGGGATTTGGGGCGTATAAATGAATTTCTTTTGGTGTTCGCTTTTCAGAGTTTGCAGGAGAGGTACATATGTTGAGTTGGTGACGAAAGGTAGATATGGATATAGCAATGTTATCAACAGTCCTCTCCGTTCAGACATTTACCTCCTTTGCATTGCGAATCTCAAAGTCCACAAGCAATGCTTGTAACACACAAGGAAAACTCCAGACTCCCTTCACCTATACCCTCCAAAACTCCACTGATTCATGTCCACCATCCCCTCCCCATCCGTCTGCATCGCAGCATCCTGAATAGGATCCACCCCATAAAACCCCGGCCCCTCCTCCGCCGTCCAACTCATCTCCGCCGTCCCGCGTCCCACCCCATCCCCTCTCACCTCCACATTCTGCATCTGCGCCTCCTCATCCCTCACCATCTCATTCCACATCCTCCACCCCTGCCATCCCCCAGGCGCCTCCTCATCAACCTCCATAAACGCCTCTTTGACCGCATCCGTCACCATATGCGATAGCGTCTGTTTACTTCCCCTCCTCCCTTCCGTCCCCTCTTCATATCCCTTTCGTTGTTGACTTAGACCCTGCAAGCTCGGCTCCGCATCAACATCCAGCTGTAGCGGTCTCGCGCCACTCGTTCTTAGCGTAGCCGTGGCATTAACAACCGTCTTGAACAAACTACCAGATAACGCATCGAAGATATCACGATACTTCACTGCGCCCGGCCATTTCTCACCGAAAATAGTCAGGATCTGTGAGCACGCACGGGTCGCTTCGAGGACGTCGTAGGAGAACAAGGTGCGGTCGCGCCAGATGCAATATACAAGTGTCAAACCGGCTACGAAACACGAGTGCAGCGATATCATGGTGTAAGTCAGCGTTCTGTTCTGGCTGAGTCGCTTGTACGCATTACAGGCGCAAGCGGCGGAGCGGGCGCACGTGATGAAGCGTGTATCCGTCGTATCGAGAGTTGGTAAGAAGACGGTGAAGAGGAAGAGCATTGCTTTGTGGTATTGAACGCCGTAGAAGTCGCGGGCGTCAAGATAAGCGCTTTCCGGGTCGTACATCCAGGTTATTTTGTTTTCCTTCTTAGGGGTTTGCGGGCAAGTACGGAGCCAAGTGTCGAGGTCGTTGCGGATTGAGGTCATTTTTTGGTCGAGTTTGGCGCGCTGCTCGAAGGTGCCGGCGAAGACGTCGCGGTCGACGCGGAAGACGGTTTTGTGGATTCGGGATTGGATTTGGTCGAGCCTGATGATGTGGATGAAGGGCTCGATGTTGGACCATTGGGTTTTGTGGGCTTCGGGGGCTTCTTGGTGGGTTAGAGTCCAGAATTCGGGGCTGGTGCTGGGAAGCTTCAAAAAGAGTCAGTTGATATAATGTTGGTGATGTTCGGTGACTACTGGCATACCTCGACATTGATGTCCCGATCGGCAATGGCAAAGGCACGGCCAAGCACGATGCTAGTCACTCGATCGAGACAGTAACACGACCAAAACGCTCGGCGTCGAATCTCAGCATCCCTCGCTTGTTCAGGGGAGTACACCACACTTCTCTTTCTGTGTAAGCCCATCTCTATGCAGACGGACGTCGCATATCGGATCTGAGACCAGGCGCCTGCTCCGTACGGAGACCGCTGTCCGTGTACCCCAAGCAGTATGAGAAACTGGACAGTTGCGAGGTTATGCTGAGCTAAGATATAATCCATTGGCTCTGTCGCGGCAACAAGATGACTCTAAAACCGGTAAGAATAATTCACCATTTATACTCGTTTGACTTACTTCAGGATCAACTCCACATGGCTTCTGCGTCAAAGACAAGAAGCGAGCTGTAATGGCATACATGAGGTGAAAGATGCTTCGTTCAATGATAGACAAAGCACCCTGAACATACTGCTTCTCGAAGAGCTTTGTGTAAACCACGCGATCTAGTAATGGCCAGCGTGTATGTATACGCTCGAAGAAGACATCAAATAGGACTCGTGCCTGTTGCCTCTCCGGGAAATCTATGACATGGTCATCTGAATGTGCAGATTCAGGAGGTGGTGGTGGAGGTGGCCTTGCAGCCATGGGAGTGGGAGTCGTCTGGTTAGCATTCTGGCCGGCTGCTCTCTTGCCAGAACTCCGAAAAATTGAAGACTGTATGATGCGAGCAATAGTCGCGCCAGAGCTAGAACCAACATAGTAGGGTTCAGGAGTCGTGTCGGTAGTCCCAGATGCGCATAGAGAGAGGTAGGCTACGCCGTCAACAAGTGAAGTCCTATCTTCACCTTCAAGGTCATCCGAGAAACAGTCGTCTCGAGATTCACGACGTGCTTCATTTGACTGGAACTGAGGGACCGATGGCTCTTCGGTAGTCGTAGGAGCCACAACATGCACCAGATCCGAGCCATTGTCATAATGATCCGAAGCATGGTCTGGAAGGCGAGCTTCTAGAAACGCAATGCGTTCTTCCAAGGCAGTTATATAACTGACCAGTTAGTCAGACATCCAACACGCACTCGTTCCAAAAAGCGTTTTGGTAAAAGACCTACGCCGACTTGCCACCAGGATATTGGGGCCGCAGGGTTCTCTCGTATGCACAAGCTACACCAGCTCGTTCGCACGACCTGCATACTGGACGCGCGCCGTCGCACTGCAAGAGGCTTAGTCAAGAGGTAATGTTGTGAAACCCTCAAATGACGTACTCGTTGCTTTCTTCGCTTGCATCTCTTGCAGGCCAAGGCGACTCGAGGCTTCCTCGCTGCAGAGGGCTGCGGGCCCACATTTGTGCTATTTGATGGGATCTCAGTAGCAGCAGCGGATGCAGGTATCTGGTCATCGACTGATCCAGAAGGACTCAGGAGGTTCTCTGCGTAGGACTGCGACATGACCTTTTCGGTATGAAATTACCACAGTGTGTAGTACGTAGTCGAGAGCCCATGGAATCATCGGCCCCAACCTGCGCACTACGTATTCGGATGCATTACGCCCTTCACGTGCGACGATCGCTCAGGGTAAACGGCATACACAAGCCGAAGTGTATCTTATCGTGATTGCTTCCAGAGTGGGCAAGATAAGTCGTCATGTGATCTTATCTCGGCTGCAGTCTTCCTTTTGGTTGCGGAGACTGTTGACCAGATCGGTAACGCTGACGTTCACTACCACAACGACGTCGCGTGCTTACACTGTATTCCTATCTCAGCCCCTGCTCTTTATCGCATCTTGGGGGTCTTGGACGCAGCTTGTGCATCTGGGGCAGCATGTTACATCGGCTGAAAATGCGCCGATGGAGGCGATGGCAAGGGGGTCTGGCCAGTTCTAACTCACCATTGGTGTGTGTGTGGACTGCGTGAACCATCTGGGGTCGGAACAGAGTCAATCAACCTTGACATATGAGAGGCCGTGATCCACAGATGTAAAGATGAGGGCGGACTGCTTTTTTTGCGAAGTCAGGCCTGTCTGTTCAGACCACGACTGAATCCAACATGGGCAAATTCGAAATGCCAACGAAGCGGCGGATGTCAGCACCGTTCCAGTCAAAGGAAGCCTTTATGGAATTTCTCAGGGCTCCTCGCGTCAATGACGGCCATGTCCCTATCGGAGACGAGAGATGGTCGAATAAAGATCTCGAGCCGACACCAGTTGAACAAAGGACTTGGACTTGGTATAGTCTGCCTCTATACTGGTTTTCCAACAAATTCTCCCTTGTCGGCTGGAATACTGGCTCTTCACTTGTAGCCGTTGGCCTGGTACGTTATCCGGTAAGACTACTTGTAGGACGCAGACTAATCACTTCTGTAGACATGGCAGACATCCTTCGCCTCAGCATGCATCGGCTCTCTACTCGCGGCTATAGTCGTCGTTCTGATGGCTCGTCCGGGTGCTAAATATCATATCGGATTGTAAGTAACCATCTCCCACGCATTTTCGACTTGAGCTTACCATGCGAAGTCCCGTCCTTGCACGCTCTGTCATGGGCATGTACGGTTCCTACTTCTTCGTCTTCATCCGAGCCATCGTCTGCATCATCTGGTACGGCATTCAGACCTTTTACGCCGGCAACCTCTTGTCCGTGATGCTACGCTGCATCTTTGGCAGTTCCTGGGAAAACCTACCGAACACACTCTCGCCAGGTGCTGCCGTGACATCGAAGCAGCTGTTGACTTTCTTCATGGCTTGGCTCATGGAATTCCCTTTTATGTGGGTTCATCCGACCCGCATCCACTACGTCTTCACCGTCAAGGGAATCATCATGCCTATTGCGGCTTTTGCGGTTTTCGGCTGGTGCATGGCAAATGGCGGCGGACTCAACTCCATGGATCTCGCTCACAAGACGAGCAAAGCTTCATCAACTATTCCTTTGGGTTGGAGTATCATGGCTGGTATCAACACCATCTTTGGTGCACTATCGCCCATGCTTGTCAACCAGCCCGATCTTGCCCGCTACTGCAAGAAGCCCCGCGACGCAGGTTATCTCCAGGGTGTCAGTGTGTTCGTCTCTGCTATCATCGTCTTTTTCCTCGGTATGGCTTCGACAACATCAATGCAATCAGCGTACGGCGTAGCGTACTGGAACATTTGGGATCTCTTCGACGCTATACTTGACCATCACTTTGGCGCTGGTGCACGCGCAGCAGTCTTTTTCGCCTCATTGGCATTCTACTTTGGAGTTTTTGCGACAAATTTTGGGGCTAATTCTATTCCGTTTGGCTCGGATATGACTGGTCTATTCCCCAAATGGCTCACGATCCGCAGAGGACAGATACTTTGTGCTCTCCTTGGAATCGCTGTGCAGCCATGGCAACTCATGGCTAATGCGTCTGCTTTCCTCAGGTAAGACAGCTACAGAGATCGCTAGTTTGCTGTGGAAGAAAACAAAACTAACGATTAAATAGCTTTCTTGGATCTTACAATATCTTCATGGCTCCTCTCTGCGCCGTCTTGATTGTTGATTACTTCATCATTCGGAAGGGCAATGTCCACGTTCCGTCGTGCTACGATGGCAGAAAAACAGGCCTGTATTGGTTCTGGTCTGGAATCAACTGGTGTGGAGTAGTAGCGTGGATACTCGGCACCACCATGGGTATCCCAGGTCTCATCGGTCAATACCAACCGCAGATCATTTCCATGGCCGCACAGAACATGTACCGTATGGGATGGGTCTTGACCTTTACCGTTGCGGCGACGGTTTATTACTTCACGTTTCTTTTCATCAAGCCGCGCGTATTTCCTGTTGGACGCGAGAGCACGCCGTTTGAGTGGGAGTGGTTGGGCAATGACGGTCGTGAGGGATTTTTCGAGGGAGAGGGAGACCGTGGAGAGATTTACGTTGCTGCTACACCACCCATGACGGATGCAGGGGATGATATTGAGGTTGGAGGCAAATCGCCGAAGGTGAATTATTGAACTCTGTGTAGGGAGAAACTTCATTAGTAATACTGTATGCTGTGTGACGATGTCATTGAATGTCGTAAATGATACTTTCTCCAAAACCACATACATCCACTTTGTGCATATCAGGCATTCCATTAGTTACATATCCCTCAACCGTTAGAGACAGGTCCGTACCCAATACCCTTGCTTCATGGCGAACTCCAAATCATCCCCACTGCGATGCTTCCATATCTGGTAGGAGGGAAAGTTGGAGGTGTGGAGGTGTGTTCGGCATACAACCGTCCGATAAGCGGGACGACCGTTATCGGCCGTCATCGCACTTACACTTGTACTACCACGAACGCCTCGATAGGGCAACCCGCACGCCGGTCACAAAGTGCGACATGGTGTATCTGATGGCTGCCTATCATACTAAGCGGATCACTTGGGCCGAGGATAACAGTTTCGGCATGACTTCCTTTAATGCACATTTAGTGCACAAAAGTGTATCATTTGGAAGGGGGAAAGGAAATCATTTTATCATTCCTGAACATACGGAGTCTTTGCTTCTTTGTAGTTCAAAGTTGGTATTGCAGCCTGGGATATACGGATACGATTGACAACATGAGTTCCGAACTCTACCAGCTGACAGCCACAGAAGTGGCAAAGAAAATCCAGCAAGGCGAAGTCACAGTAGAAGAATATGCAAAGTCGCTTTTGAAGCGTATCGAGGCGCGGGACGAGGCTGTCAAAGCATGGGCGTATCTCAACCCTGAGTACGTAATTGAGCAGGCAAAAGCACTAGATGCTGTTCCAAAAGATGAGCGCGGCCCGTTGCACGGTATTGCAATTGCTGTCAAAGATGTGATTTACACAAAAGGTGAGTTTGATCACAAGCTTTTCGCTAGACATTGGTTAATAGACTCTAGATATGCCAACGCAATTCAATTCCCCAATATACGCCAAGGATGCACCAAAAGTCGATGCTGGATCCATTGCTATACTGCGCAAATCCGGTGCGCTTATATTCGGAAAGACAACAACGACTGAATTCGCTGCAACAACCACAGGCCCCAAGACGTGCAACCCGCACGACTCGAATCGCACGCCTGGTGGTTCTTCATCAGGGTCTGGAGCTGCGGTGGGCGACTTCCAAGCACCTATCGGTTTGGGTACGCAGACGGGCGGCAGCACTATCCGGCCTGGTTCGTACAATGGAATCTACGCTCTCAAGCCTACGTGGAATTCGATCACGCGCGAAGGACAGAAGATTTACTCGCTGATACTCGATACACTTGGTCTTTATGCTCGTAGTGTAGCAGATTTAGAGCTGCTCGCCGATACTTTTGCTATTCACGATGATGTTCCAGTCCCATCGGATTTCACAGTCAAAGGAGCAAAGTTCGCGGTTCTCAAAACCATGGTTTGGCCACAGGTAGGACCAGGTACCGTTGCTGCGCTCGACAAGGCCGTTTCCCTACTACGCGCGCATGGAGCCGAAGTAGAGGAGATTTCGCTGCCAGAGCACCTCAATGATCTCCCATCATGGCATACGACAGTGCTGAACTCGGATGGTCGGACGGCGTTTTTGCCCGAATACACAGTGGCCAAGGACAAGATTTCGGAGCAGTTAGTAGGACACGTAGAAAACAGTGGAAAGATTTCGCGCAAGGCACAGCTGGAAGCGTTTGATAATATAGCAGCAGCAAGGCCGGTGGTAGATGAGCTGCTTGAAAAGTATGCCGCGGTGCTGACGCCAAGCGTGCCTGATGAGGCGCCAGTGGGTATCGAGAAGACTGGCAGCGCAGCGTTTTGTTTGATATGGACGGTAAGTTTTGTTTCCGCACTATTGCTGCGAGTCGTTATTGATCTAGAGATAGGCGCTACATACACCGGTGGTCAACGTCCCAGGCTTCAAGGGGCAGAATGGCATGCCAATTGGCGTCTCGCTTGTGGCACCGCGATACCATGACAGACGGCTTCTGGCAGTGAGCAAAGAAGTTGGAAAGATATTCGAGGCTGAGGGTGGATGGCAACGGTCGGTGTAGATAGTTGACGGAATTAGTGTATATAGATGGAAAGAGTGTCTACATTTGGATATTTCATAATACACGCGCACTGAGACTGGCTTTCAGAAAACGACTCAAGGAAGTTGAAAGAGATGCACAAAGTAGACGGAACTCATTACAATACCTGGCCGCGATTAGGATTATGCATAATCACATGATGTTAAGGCGGGTGTAGACTTCCTGAGTACTGAAGTCCATCACCATACCGTATTTAGTTTAGTGTGCTAATCGCGACGCGTCTACATCATCGATACGCGTCACTCTCGTCGCGACTAACTTCCCCTCAGCAGTCCCCAATTCCACCCAATTTCTTCCTTTGTACTACTTTTGGTTTTTTCTTTCAAAACATTCGTTCACTACACCTTACAACCAACACAATGTCTCTAACCACTCTGCCTTCACTTCCTGAACCCGTTCTACACCTAATTTGCATCTATCTCACGCCGGATCGCCCCAGCGTCAACGACCCGGAAAATGGCCAATCACCTACACTTTACCGCCCAATAATCAGCCTTTCACTGACCGCGCATGCCCTAAATCGCATCTCCTCAACCCACATCGCGACAAATATGAGCCTGACATGGGGCACTATCCGTTGGGACCTCTTTCTCCGCACCGTGCTCGAAAACCCAGTCTACGCATCCACCGTCAAGTACCTCAAACTCAGCGAGCTCAGCCTAGATGAGCAAGATTTGGTTAGACCAACAAAGTGGCAAGGCGGCACAGACGATCTCACAGAAATGTTCAAAGCACTATCCGGATTGCAAACGCTCTACTCGTCGCACTGCAGGCTACTCTACCCCGACTCCATCATCTATCGCCTTACGTCTCAAAAAATGCCGCTGTGGAAAACGCTCCAGGTCGTGCGATTCGACCATATCAACGCCTGGGGTGAGGACCGCATCGCGCAATTGAACTTGCACCGCGAACGCACAAAAGATAATGAACACGGTGAACCGAGCAAGTACACGATGGGAAACGGACTGCTTACTGGCTCTCTGGCGCGCTTGAGTATCTTGGACTTTCACAAGATACCCGAGGTCACTAATGTGGTTGCTACTACACGCGATTTTGAAGACGACGGGGATACGGAGGGGGATGCGGATTGGGTTGATGAGGATGCGGAAAAGGAGGAGGGAGAGGATTGGAGTGATGATGATGATGATTATGAGTATGAGAGCGAGGATAGCGAGTGGGATTCGGAAGATGACAGCGATTATGAGGATGATTGGGAGGCGGAGTATGGGTTCAGTGTGCCTAGCGCTCAGCCTGTGAAGGAGGGGCTGCCGACGCCGGCCGTTGGCTTGTCTGCTCCAGGGAAGAGTTTGTTGGATTTTTAATGAAACAAGACAGGAGTGCGTTTTGTATAGCATATGTTTTAGAGGGGCTCAACATGTATATTAGTAGATTTATCTTGTAGTACGTTTAATCGACTGAACTTCACTAAGTCCTTTGTAAAACAAATGCCTTGGTCGTCTCTGCCCCATCCCTACAGCTCCCATTACCATTTCCATCAGAAATCTCCAAGACACATACCCCGATCAAGCCGGCCTAACAAACCTAACCATCACTTTCGGCGCCCCCGCTGTAAAATGATCCTTGATACCCTCCCAATAAGCATTCACATCCACCCCCTCATCAAGCCTAACATCAAATTCAGCAATCACTCTCCCCACCATACTCCTCAACTCCATCATGGCCAGCGCTTTCCCTGCACAACTATACGGCCCCGTCGAAAACGGAATGAACGCTGCTCTATTCCGCACAAGCTCCGGCCGCGTAGTCCAGCGCTCCGGGATAAACTCATCAGGCGCTACAAAGTTCCTCGGGTCGCGAAACAGCGGGAACAGCGGGATATGCACAATCATGTTCCCTGGGATGAAGTGCCCATTAATGTCCATGCCTTCGGGCGGCGTGACGCGTTGGGAGCCGAAGAAGACGGAGGGCCATATGCGGAGGGACTCGTAGATTACGGCTTCAAGCAAGGGGAGTGGACGCTGGCAGTCGTAGCTGTGAGCGTTGGCGAGGAATTCTGTGCGGATGGCGGCCGTGTAGTGTGGGTGTGTGGCGAGGTGCATGAAGATGAAGGTCAGGGCTGTGGAGGTTGTTTCACTGCCTGCGGAGATGATAAGGCGTGATTCGCCGAAGAGGAGTTCGCGGCCTTCGGGGGTCTTGGGCGTCGAGACTATGAGGTGCGAGATCAAGTCTGGCCTTGCGTCTCGGACCTGGAAAGTGTCAACGATTGGATTTGAGGTGGGTTCATTACATGCATAGTACGTACTTTCATTCGTGCACGCATTTGGCTGACGCTCCAGTCTCGCCATTCTTTCATGGGTCCGGCAAACGAGGTAAGTACTCCGATTGTGTTCATGAGCCACGGCATGTGATACATGTATCCCAGGGCGTGTACGCTGTTGGTAAACGTGGCAAGGATACTTGCAGCAACGTCGCTCTGCTCGCCCTTGATGAAGCCCATGGACTTGCCAAAAGCCAGTGCCGCCATGACATCGTAGCTATAGTGTGAAGTGTACTCTGAGAGCGGAATGGGTTGTCCTTCTTCGCTGCGAAGTTTCGCAAGTAGCTGTTCTGTGAAGTGTTCGACTTCTGGAGCATAGGTGGAAAGCGATGTCTTGAACGCATTGTCCCACACACGGCGTCGCTGGCGATGAAACGCCTTGTCGCGATTCAAGTGCAGCGACCTTTCCATGACATCGAAGAACGGCCCTTTGGTAGTTTTCGACCGAGTTCCGAGAATAGATTGGATCGCGTCTGCGTCGAATATGGTGAGTTCACGGGGTCCTGTTTCCGATCAGCATTGCATCTGGAAGGAGGTACCAATCGTAACCGACCTGTCCTAACATAATCGCCATATTGCGTTTGCAGTCTTTGTAATACCCTATGGTAGTGCAAATCGCTGTCCCATGTTTGCTTGATCGTCCACCATCGCGAAAGCTTCGCCCCCCAGGGTCCCGGGTAATCTTTCAGGGGGTGGAAAAAAGCGCGGTAGGCTCCTATGTACAACCATAGCGGTACCCAGAAAGAGCTCGTCACCAGTGTCGCTGCGATGAAACTCGTGTAATACACGAGGATCCAATAGGTCGTAACCGCTGAGCCAATGATTGGAAGTGCCAGATGATCAACTTCCACTTCGCGCAGGACAGATTCGTGCAAGATAACAGCCGAGAGTGGTGCGAACACAAGGGCAATAGTGAAAACCGACTCCATGGCTCGTTACGGGCAAAGCTCCGGTGGTGCGCGGGGCTGATGGTGTCGCGAAGAGTTAAGTGTTGGTAGCAACAAAGAAACAGTGAAGGCGATAGCCGATATACAATCGCTCTTTCACTAGCAAAGCCAATTGCTCTTTCCTAGTTTCATTAGCTGTTTGGCATCTTAATGAATACGAAGAAAACACACCAGTACACAATCCAAGATACGCCTCTTCGCAGATCCGACAGGGTAGTTGGTCGTGCAAAACGTGGAAGCGGAGAGAATGTAACGTACATGCTCCGGGGATCACAGTCACACGTGGCGGCGACCTGTATGAGATATTGATCGGTAGTCCCGACAGCTGAACCAGGGTCTTATCCATTTTCCTGAGTAGTCTGCTCGTCAGACTGCATGGTTGTGTTAGTGTATTCCACAACCGGTATCTTTCCGCATGCTTTGGTGCTGACTCCACATAATAGCCAGAAGCGTTGCGCTGCCGCGCTTCGTTGTACACTATCGCACACCATTACACAGAATTCACTAGTGACTACTGTTTGGCCAGGCTTGCAACTTGTCGATAACCGTGAAATTTTCTAGCGGTCCCAATTCATCCAGTTCTCAGCAAAAACAAAGCAGGTCGTGAAACCTTTATTCTCCGGAAATACTAGTCTTATTGGTCAGCATAGGGGAGTGGAGCCGCTGACAACGTGCTCCAACCCATGATATGTAATCTCGGCACGTAAACCAGTCAGTAACCGAATAGGCGATGTAACGACTTGCGCGACAGTTAGCCTCAATATAGGAACCCATATGCCTGCAGCGACCAGTGACAAAGCGGCCAGGTTCACTCGGGGCAGCCGCATAATTGTGGATATCATCGATTTCTTCTTGCGTCGTCATGGCAGCTCTGTCAATACTTCTACGCATTCACTACCAGGAAGAAGTATTGGAGAAGCGCACATTCGTAAGCGGCTTGCTAGTTACTGCGTCTTATGGTTTCACTGTTGAAAATGAATGTTACACGAGCCATGGTCTTCTGGGTTTCACCGTGGTGAAATCGGTGGAAAGGTAACTCAAGCTCCCCACAAAGATAAGTTTGCTGCAGATCCGGGGGTATGGCCTAACTCCTAGAGGGTTCGCTGCTGTTTTGTATACTCTATCTCCTTTTCCAATCCCCGAAAATTCTTTTGGTGGTGTGATGAGTTCCAACAGAACAAAAGTGGGCGTTTTGCCTGTGCCTGATGATGGTGATCAAGATTTGGACGGTAGGACTGACCTTCAGAGGAGGATTATTGTGGTATATGTGGTCATGACAATCTTCTCGTCTATAGTACTTGGGTTACGGCTTTATACGCGCATCTTCATTCGTCGCTTGACTGGATTGGACGATGTGTTGGTAGTTTTCAGCTGGCTAGGGTGTGTCGCATGGTTGGTGATATGCTTTCAAGGTACAGTCCATGGCACTCATTCATCAACTGCAACTGACATACCTGTAGCATTCCAATACGGCTTTGGACAGCATCTGTGGAATGTGACCGTCGAACAACTGCAAGTGTACACAAAGATGCTCGTTGGCATAATGGTAGTCTATGTCTGGACGCCTGCGCTCGCAAAGCTCTCCCTGCTAGCGCTCTACTACCGTCTCAACCCGGATTTTAAGATTCGCTCCTGTATCTACGCGTTAGCAGGTCTTGTATCTGGGTATTCGCTAGCAATCACCATTGTCGCGGCCGGCCCTTGCAACCCACAATACCATAGCGACCAGAAATGCCTTACAGACCTTAATCTTTTCATGGCATGCATCAACATTATCACAGACTTCTTGATCCTGTGCCTGCCAGTACCGATGCTACGCGCCTTGCAGCTACCGATGAAACAAAAAGTCTTACTGGGATTAGTGTTCGCGTTGGGGTCCGGGTAAGGACATGCGCACATCCACAGTTTCCGTATGGTCCTTCGCTAATGTTGCCAGCGTGGTTGTCATCTCCACTGTTCGTATCATTTACGTCTACAGCATGATCAGCAATCCCGACTCAACTTACAATATCGCCAAAGCTTGTATCTTCTCGACGATTGAACTCAATGGTGGCGTCATTTGCGCGTGTGCGGCACTCCTGAAGCCCTTTATCCAACGACATATGCCATGGATACTGTCTCTCTCGAGTCGGAATGGAAGCGGAAATCGTTCCAGGGTTCGGAAATTCAAGATGTTCAAGAAGCACAGCAATGGGAGAAAGTTTGAGCTACGTAGCACAAACGCAGAAAAGGACACGCGCAAGCAGGCCACCAACAAATTGAATCGTCAGATCGAAGTGACCCGATCGTACAGCGTTCGAGATTCGAAGACGGGGAAAGACAATGGCGACAGCATGGATGATTTGTTTGGACCAACTGCCAGCTGGAACGGGGGTCGGTAGATCCTTGTAGATTGGAAAGGCTGTCCCAAGGGATCACGTATGAATTGTATTGGCTGAGGATTCTAGATGAATCTGGAGGCAATATTAAGGACAAATTATGAAAAGAGCGGGGTTCCCGGTAATGCATTCTCGTTTGCCAGAAGATCATCAAATCGACACAATGTGATGAGGTCGAGGGAAGATGTCAAGTGACTGGTATAGGGTAAGCGTCAGACGGTGATTGGGGTCTTGGCGCGTCGCAGAGAAAGGGGGTTATTGGGACCAATGTGCGTCGAGGTGGTGGTGAAACCAACATAAAATCTGCTTAGAGCAATGGCTTTCCTATAGCTTTGGCTGCCATGAGCCTAAGACTGGATTAATAGCCAAAGTTACAAAATAGGCATCGTCAGTTGTTCGAGATGATAACTGTTGAGTGCTGTCAGCCGTGCGCTAACATGTCTGGTGGCACAAGCACTGGTTCTTGCATTTGTGCCACTTGTGAGTTCCAGACTTACAATTTATACGGGTGCACATTCAACTGTAATTTTGACGAAGAATATTTCACTGGGGTATCAATTTACTATCAATCCACTCACGAGAACCATGCAACCATCGAAACCACCAGGGAGCTCTATCAGTCTAAATCTGCTCTCAGATTTGGACGTCCACGAGCAATGGCATCGCCCAAATCCAGGTTAGACGTCTGTCCGCGAATATTAGATATGAACCGTCGCCCGCCATCCATGTTTTGTTTGTGCTTCGCTTCTTCTTCTGCATCCTTGATCTCCTGTTGTCGGACTCGTTCAGCTCGCTGCTCCTCCAACGATGCCGCCTCTGCTTGCATACTGGCAAGACGATCAGCTGCACTTTGGCGGGCTTCAGCATCGTCTACTTGTTTTCTCGGGGGAGAGCGATCACGTCTTCGGTAATTGTCACGATCACGAAAGTCTCTACGATCCTCCCTGCGATCCTCCCTCCTGGGCGGTGAACGTGTGCGCTCTCGTCGGCTACTGTGCTTATGATGTGGTGACCGTGACCGTGACCTTGACCGTCTCCTGTGGCTGTGGTGTTCGCGGTGGTGTTCGCGGTGGTGTTCACGGCGGTGCCCACGATCTTCGCTTCTGCGTGGCGAACGCGATCGATTGTGTCGACTCCGATGCTTGTGTTCCCGATCCCTACTCCTCTCTCTGTCCCTGTTTCGGTGTCTCTTCTCGCGTTCCTTCTCCTTCTCGCGCTTTTCGGCGTACTTGGCTTCCTTCTGAGCGTCCTTCATGGCCTTCAACTGCATCTCCATCTTCTGCTTCTGAATCATGAGGAGCGGGTCTTGGAGGACCTTCTTTTGTGTATCGCGGGCGTTGTTTATGTTCGCGCTGGGTTCGCCAATAGCACCAATGCCGACCGGTGCGCCCTTCTGCAGACTTTGCGTGTCGTTTGATTTGAGGAGGTTATCGATCCTGCGCTTTCCAAGAAGATAACCCTCTCTTTCTTCCGTAATGCCGCTATCACCACTAGGGCCGGCATACATCCAGTCGACTCTTCGCTGCACGACCTTGCCACCAGACTCTGCCTGCAACTTTTGTAGTTCTTCAAGGGCAGCCTCCTCTTCACGTTCTCGACGAAGCTTGTCGATCAACTTGCGCTCCTCGAGGGCGGCCTTTTCTTCCTTCCATACTCTCTCCTGGTTCTTGAAGAGGTGGGGATGCCAACTTTTCTTCAAATTTAAACTGGATTGGTTAGCCTTGATACAGTCTATTATGGTGAATGACTTACTCTCCACCCATGATTGCGACAAGTGTATGGTGCGCGTCTGAATCTGTGGGCTTGGTAGTATTTTAGACGCAAATACAGTCGCGCCAGACGTATGATGCGCACACGAGTAGGAGGGTTTGGTTGTATTGGGAGGTGGAAGAATGACGGAAGGCTGGTACACATCTGCGAAGATGCGCCACGGGCTGCCAAGACGCGCCAAGCCAGGCCCCACCCAAAAGTTCACCTCCGCGACTTCTCCGCAAAAGTTTCGAACGAGCAGTTTGGAGATTCCTCGATACAGCACGTCTTTACTTGTCGCAAACGAATTGGTTACGGACTTCGGGAAAATCCTTGTTACCGCATTCCTAAACCAGTCAAGTACGAACAAAAAAAATGGCGACGCGCAAACGGAACGAGTACCTCGACGTAGATGAGAGCGAGGACGATGAGAGGGGCTATGATTCCGAGGAAGAGAGCAGAGCGCGCATGCTGCCAGCATCGAAGCGCCAAAAGACAGACCATGATTCAGAAGCAGAAGAAGACCGGGAATACGACAATGAGGACACGGAATCTCAAGGCGACGATGACAATGCAGAAGACGAAGACGAAGACGAGCCAAAACCCTTTGCGTCCAAGAGCGCCGAATTAGCTCATCTTGAGAAACTTGCCGCATCCCTCCCTTCCGAATTGAGACTACAATCCACAAAACTGGGCAAAGTGCTACCCCAATCCTCACTCAAAAAGGACAAATCAGGCGTCATCTACCTCTCGCGCGTGCCACCATTCATGAAACCCGCCGTTCTTCGTTCGCTATTACAGCCCTACGGCGCCGTCGGCCGCATCTTCCTCACCCCCGAATCCTCCACAGCGCGCACACAACGACTGCGCAACGGCGGCACACGCCGCAAACTCTTCCTCGACGGCTGGGTCGAATTCCTACACAAGCGCGACGCCAAGTTCGTAGCCGAGAACCTCAATGCGCAGACCATGGGCGGCAAGAAGAGAGGCAGGTGGCACGACGAAGTATGGAATATCCGGTACCTGAGCGGCGTCAAGTGGCACAATCTTGTCGAGCAGATTCAAAACGAGAATGCGGAACGTGCTGCACGACTTAGATTTGAAATTGCACAGGGCAAGAAGGAGAACAAGGCGTTCTTGGAGAATGTGGAGCGCGGCAAGGTGGTCAGTGGGATTGAGGCTACGCGAAGAAAGAGAGGCGAGGATTTGGATACCGATCAGAATGACGCAGCGACAACGGATGCAGTACAAGAAGCGGGTGAGAAGCCCAAGAGGAGAAAGGGCAGACTCGAGTTCTCGCAACATACAGCAACGAGCAAGGCGTTGAAGAAGCCGGAGCCGGGCCAGGACGTGAACAGAGTACTAAGTAGTATGATGTGAAAAAACAAGAGAACAAAGGAGCATACCAAATCTAATCATAAGACCAAAAAGAAAAGCAGTCCGATAATCTCGAATCCTGCGAAATTCCGAATTCATGACTTTGAAAAATATCTTGATTTATCCCAATTCCCTTCTTAAACGCCCAAAATTCTCTAATGCAGCTCAAACTAAAAAACCAACGCCATCATCCTTTCAGACGTGTAAAATAAAATAAAATGCTAGGGTATATTCACACCATTCTTTTCCCCATCATAATCCCCCCCCCCCCCACACCTTTACTTATATAGCCGTTCCTCTCTCAAAGCTCTCCCGAATCTCCGTCGTATACCGATTATAAAACCGCGCCAACTTGTCGTTAAACTGCTTGTTCTTCTGATTGATATACGTAACATCGCCCATATCCTGCTCGTCGCGTATGCCGCGGGCGGCACGCGCTTTTAAGCGAGCGCGCTCGCTCTTCTCGAGGTCTTCAACAAGGCGGTCGACGGCTTCTTTGCTGGGCTTGTGGTCGTGGCTGTAGGCTTCGTCGACGGGCGTGTTGATGCGGCCTTGGCTGTCGACGGTGTAGATTTCGCCGGCATCGGTTTCGACGAGTTGGAGGAGGCCCGAGGAGACTTGGGATTGAAGTTTTCTAGCTTTTTCTTCGGCGTAGGCTTCCATGTCGACTTTGTTCATTTGGCCGATTTGGCGCTTGTAGACTTTGTTGGCTTCGTTTCTGTAGTCGGCGAAGGCTACGCCTTCCCGGTTTTTGGCCTTCTTCTTTAGCCGCTTGTCCCAGCTCTCGCTCTCTTCGATGGTGTAGTCCCAGTTCCGCTTGCGCTCGAAGTCAGGGTCTTCGGACTTGAGGAGCTTGTACGAGGCTTTGTCGTGGGCGGCGCTGAGCTTGGAAATCTGTGCAAGACGTGCACTGCGGTCTTCGGCGTCACGGACTTCGCGCTCTGTGGCTTTTCGGCCGCTGACTTTTTGCGCCTGGAGCGCCTTGAAGCGTGCCATTCGCGCAGCGAGAGCGGCTTTGGGATCAGATGGTGTCGCCGTGCTAGCAACTGCATCTTCTTTCGCGGAAGACTCCTGTCCTGTCGGTGTGTTGTCTGCTGATGTTTCGTTTGCGGTCATGGTGGTCGAGGGCGCTTCTTCGTCCGCTGTAGTTTGCGATGGTGCGACTGTTGTGGAGGATTCTTCAGCCATTTTTCCGAGAAAGGTAGTATTAGAGGTTTCGTTATCCGGTTTAGGTACGTTCGTCATGCGGGATGGGTTTGCTGTGGAAGTGTCGCGGTTCCTTCAACGAAATGTTGGATTGACGACTGCCAAGACTCTAGCGCGACTTTGCCTACTATACGATGTCAAGTCTGGGTTGACGTATGATGAACACGTATACCCTGCTTTCTAAGACGCATGACAGGAATTGGGGGTTGAATCAAAGCATTATACACAATTCGAGATGGAATCTAACCTTGAGCTTATTCATTCTCATGCTAGTCTAGAAATCTTGCAAATTCACTTATATCCTTCGTTGCAAGAACAACCCTTGCATATGTCGATAGGACATCAGTAAACTCTACGAATTGTAGAAAACAAAATATTCTTGACGCGTTGTAATCATATTTTTATTGTCTAAGTCTTATGCTGAAACTGAGATGCAGTAAATCTACATGGTATCCCATTGAGCATTCTTTGCTGCACCATGCTGGTTATTTTCTCCTCTGCCGAACTAAACCGGTGTGCATGCGAAGAGGTCTTCAATGATGGAAACCTAAAACCTGAAATTTCCCCATCTGCCTCTAGATCGGCTCATCCCTAGGCTCAATAAGGACCTCGTTGACGCTAACATGATCCGGCTGCTTAAGCGCGTACACGATACTATCCGCAACGTTCTCTGGATCAAGGACCTTGGCACCACTCGGCTCGCCGTACTTCTTCAATGCTTCTGGATCCGTGCTCATGCCTAGTAGATCAGTAGCGACGTTACCCGGCTGTACAGAGGTGACCTTGAGCCCTGTACCAGCAGTCTCAAGCCTCAGACTCTGTAGTGTAGCTTCTACGAAAAATTTGGAAGCAGAGTAGACACCCAGCCCAGGGAACACCTTTCGACCAGCATCTGACGAGATGGCGAGGAGGTGGCCTTTTCCGCGCTTGAGCATCGAAGGTACGATGGCAGCGATGACGTTAAGGAGTCCCTTGCAGTTTACGTCGACAGTTTGGTTCCACTGGTCGGTGTATGAGTTGGCCATCATAGTAAAGTACATGACTCCCGAGACATTGACAAAGATATCAACTGGTCCCAGCTGCTTCTCTGCTGCGGCGACAAGAGCTTCGACTTGGCTCTTGTCAGTGACATCGGTCTTCTGGGTGATGATCTTGCCCTCGCGAACCACAATTCTCTTCTTGAGATCTTCCAGAGCGTCCAGGCGCCGTGCTGCAAGCGCAACATGGCAGCCTTCTCGTGCAAGAGCTGTAGCAGTAGCAGCACCAATACCAGATGAAGCACCCATAACAACAACAACCTTGCCATACAGTGGACCCCTTCGGGGAAGGCGAGCTGAGCCACCCGCAGCATCCTGGCGGACAGGAGGCTTTGGAAGCCAGCCTCGAGCGTACCAGTGACGTGTGTATGTCTCAAGAAGTACTTGATCAACCTTTGGGCGCTCCACAGCAAGACGAAGCGGCCGTGTCTTCGCGTTGTCGAGCACTACAACATCTCTCAAGAACTCAATACTGGGCATACCGCTGCGGAGGATATCAACGGTGAACGCGCCATCACCGCCCTTAGCGGCGCCGCGCTTGTCATCCCAGAGTTGGATCCACTTTGTGAACTCTATGGGTTTAGTTGGGTAACCTAGTTCGTTAAGATCCTCAAAGACTTTGCTAACATCTACGGGGTCGGGATCGCCAATATGGAAAACTGTTTGCTCAGTTTCAATCTGGTTGCTGAGATGGATGATAGCTTTGCTAACGAAGTCGACCGGCGTCATTTCTGCGCGCCAACCCTTGACGTCTGGGTAATGACCGATTCTGATAGACTCGACAATCAAAGCTGTCAAGAGATCCCACGCGTTGGCAGCACCAGTTTCGCTGTGACCACTGATCGTACCGATTCGATGGATCTTGATGGGGAGACCCCTTCGGCCAGCTTCCAAAGCGAGTTGTTCAGCAACCCATTTGGTTTGTCCATAACCATCAGCTAGCTTGACAACATCGCTGACATCAAGAATCGCGTCTTCTGGCCAGCCTTCCCGACCCTTTGCGGGGAGAAGTACTCCGTTGGTCGAGATATACTGTACAGTCACGCCACCCTGGGCCGCAAGACGTAGAATTTCTCGTGTTCCTCCAACATTAGGCTTCTGCAATGCAGCATAAGGATACACCAAGTTGACAGTAGCGGCCGCGTGAACAATGACATCAAGGCGTTCGGCCAAGTCTTTGAATGTATCAGGGGCAAGACCGAATCGCTTACGAGACAGATTTCCTGGGAGAATTTCCACACGTTCCATGATGTTGTCGCTCCAGAGGCCGAAATCCAGCAAGTTCCTACGTATCCTAGCGATACCGGCAGGAATATCATCTTGTGAGGAATCGGCGAATCGGACCATGCAGATGATTTGGGCAGACGTGCTTTCCAGTAAATCACGAAGAAGGAATGCACCCAAGAAACCGGTCACACCCGTGAGGAGCACAGTTTTGGCGTCTTTGAGTGCACACGCCTTGGCGTCTTTTGGCTGGATCTCTTTGTCCAAGACGGAGTCTGCACGCAATACGGCTGGGAGGTTTTCTTGCACCTCAGCAGTATGACCATCGCGAATAGCACGAACTGTGTCCAGATGTCCGTTTAATGTTGCAGGTTGAGCGAGACGTGCGACAGGTACCCTAAAACCAAAAGTATTTGACAATCGCGCAGCCAGGTCCGCAAGAAGAAGCGAATGGCCGCCGAGGTCGAAGAAGTTATATTCGGGGGTTATTGAGCTTGGGCTGACATTCAGGATAGATGCCCAGATTTGGGTTATCTGCTCGATAGTGATTGGACTTTGTTCATACTTGCGTGCACTTCCTGAAGGTGATGATGGTCTTGGGGGAGGCAGAGCCTTAAGGTTGACCTTGCCAGAAACATCACTTGTTGGTAGCTTGTCCATCTCAACCCATAACGAAGGTATCATGTAATGAGCAAGATAGGCCATAAGCATGCGTCTAGTAGTCGCGCTGCGCCCAGTTCTGTCAATCTCAAGCTCTGGACGTTCCGCCGATGTGTTTTTGTCTCGCACAATGTATGCCACCAACTGGCGGTCGATACCATCCCCGAAAGCTATCACAGCACAATGGCTGACAGCCAAATGGGTCAGAATTGCGTTCTCGACCTTGCCTGGAACCACCGAGTATCCGCGGATTTTGATCATAGCACCGACACGTCCAGTAATTTCGAGCAAGCCGCTGGGAAGTATGCGTGCCTTGTCGCCGGTCCTGTACATTCTAGCACCAATCTTGGAACTGTAAGGATTCCTGATGAATGCTTTTTCAGTTGTCTCTGGAAGGTTGAGATATCCACGGGCAAGAAGGTGTCCACCAACGCAGAGTTCGCCACTTTCGCCATCATCTACCTTCTGGCCACTCTCATCTAAGATGTAGATGTACTTTTTGTCGATAAGTGGCGGTCCTACAGGGCAGTACGCAGCATCCTTGTCAATCTTCTCCAGCATATCCTTGATGTCACCACAGGCGATTTCATGTGTCTCACACGCGCTATAAACATTCAGCAAGCGGGCGTTGGGGAGGGCCTTGATACCGCGGCGTGCAAGATCGGTTGTCACTACTTCGCCATTGAGCCAAACGGTCTTCAGATTCGGCAGCCGAGTCGCCAGCGCCTGGTGACGCGCAAGGACAGCTGAAAATAGGGTTGGTGTGAAAAGAGTCTCAGTAATCTTCTTAGAAGCAAGGAGGTCGACCAACATGCGCGGATCGTAGCTCACATCGTCCGGAACGGCCACAACAGTTGCTCCCCGTAATAGCGGGCGTATGATTTCCCAAACGAAGAAGACATTGCAAGCCACACGGTCTCCAGGTTGTAGATCAGATAGTCCGAATCGAAGGTTGTATGAAAGGACTGCTGCTTTGTGGGGGTTGGCGATACCTTTCGGCTTGCCGGTAGTTCCACTAGAGTAGGCAACAAATGACAGGCGTTCCAAATCAGTCTCTTCGGGCAGAGGTTTCAAATCAGACTCGTCCAATAGGCCGTTCCTATCTGAGCTGGTTTCATCCAGAACAACGAGTGGTGTGGATCCCTTGATCTTTCCGACTTCTGCACTGACAGTAACTACGACGGTAGGCTGTGAGTCCTCAAGAACATCGGCAAGGAGATCAGGAGGATAGGCCAATTCCAGAACCAGAAACGCACCGCCTGCACGGAGTGCTGCTAAGCAGGCAATTACATAGTCGGCGGATCGCGGCAACAGGACACCAACCAGGCTGTCACGGCCAACCCCATGACCCCGCAGCCGGTCGGCAAGCGCAGCGACTTTGTCGTGAAGCTCCTGGTATGTGTATGTGTTCTTGTCGTCTTCTAACGCAACCAAGTCGGGAGTAGCCTGAACCTGTTGAGAGAAGAGTGCTGACAGGTCCCTGGTAATATCGATGACAGACATGGTCTGAAAGTTTTCGAAGGAGGGGTAAAATGGAAAAGGGGATCTGCTGACGACTGGTACTCGACGAGATATTTATTCGATTGTAAACTCCATGCACCGAGCTAATAACCCTCGTACAGGATGTCAAGAGATGTGAGGTCTGGCTTGCTGGGGCTCGTATAGCTTACTAGTTCCAGCGCACGACACTTTTCTCGTCTCGGTGTTGTGCGTGCAGCTCTGCCGATAACGTCATCAACTAGCGTCAACTAAAAATCCCACACCCCCATAATACCGCTCAGAGATGCAAATGGTTGAGGATCTTGGAGTGCGCCGCGGGACTGTTTGGTTGGTTGTTGACAGCTTGCAGGGACGCGATTCGCTTCTGTGTGGCCGTCTGCCGGTAATTGTGGGCAATGTCAGCCTATGAGCCCTCGCCAATGACGAACCGGTCCGCCAAAAAATAGCTTGACCCACGTCCCGTGGGGTTTGCGACACCACGTTCTAGCCTAGCCGTGACAACCAGCGGGTCAGTGGGGTATCGCGTTGGGGTCATAAGGGTTTTCCAGTTCTGCTCTGGCATCTGAGTATCTTGCCAGTGCCCGCATGCTGGCGTGGTGAGATGCCAGCGCCTCTTCTGAACATCGTGGAACAACATTGGACAGCAGTTCACAATCCCTTCTTTTTCTTTGAAAGTCTCCTCCTCTGAAATCGGAATTCATGATGTAAAGAAGGACTGACAACGGATCGTTGCTTGGGCTGACGCAATGATAATGTGTAATCATTACGGTTCAAGCAAGTTTGCCAATAGTCAGTTCACAAACAGGTTATATCCGCACTCGCTGAGAAGATCTGTGGCTGTCAGTAACCAATCGTTGGCTTCTTCAAAGTCTTGCTAGCATATGAAGCACACAGAGTGGCAGTGATGGGGAGTACATTCTCGAGCATCGATAGCAACGCGTCCTCTAGACAGGGTCGACTTTTTTCCTTGGCAAAAAAAGAGAGATGTCGAAGCAGTGATTGAAAGTGACAGGAACAGAAGATATATGTAAAAGGATGAGACAAGAGCGGGTGCGGGGAAGACGCTCAGTTTACCCGTCCCATGGGGCTTGTTCTCCTGCCAGCCTCTGACTAATGTTCCGGTTGTACAAGATTTATATTACGCTAGCGACGCAATAGTAGGATAAGTGCCTTACCGTACGGGTATGTACTTTTCAGCCTTGCCATTTGGTACGACGCTGTCTAAACATCGACACCATACCAGTGGGCAGCAATCCGAAATCGACAACATTAAGACTGCCAAACGTGTCGATCATCTCTGGGCCATACATCTGCGCGATCCATTTCCAATAAGCATCCATGCGCTGCCAATTACCAAGGATGCCTCGTAGATTGTTCTGGCTCGATAGCTGAGTTATAGCCTGCCCCACCGACGTGCCGAGAGCAACAGGTTCCTCCTGCGGTCGCTCCAGCAATTTCTTGTACGCCTTCACTAAGCTTGCCTTTCCCAAGCTTCCAAAGACCTCACGGTGTTTGATAAACTCTTCGAAAGAGAAGAATTCATCAGTGTCTTTACGTTGCGAGACCGAATCGTCTGCATTACGACGCATAGTATCCGGGTCAGCCTTGTCAAACCTGCGTTTGGCAGTGGCGTAGTCGTCGCGCTCGTTTTCCTCGTACTCATCGAGCAAGTCGTAAGGATTCTCTCTAACCGACTCTCGGATCTGCAAAAGGTGTACGAACGGTGACTTGAGATCCAGGCCGCCTAACTCGACTGGGAAGAAGAGGAAGCCATCAGGGATATTCTTTACGGAGAATCGCTCTTCGATCATCTGCTTGATTTGCTGAACAATGCTGCCATTAGGAAAGATCTGCTCCTGAATGTGGCGGTGAGTAGCAAGCATCTTATCGACATGTTCGCGGCCGAAACAATTGGCAGCTTTTCCGAAGTTCGAGCTGAAGAATGTAGCTGCGTAAGAGTTCTATTGTCAAGGTCAGCAACTTGCAAAACTGGTTGTTCGAGTCGTATGGCGTACCCAGGCTTGAATGTAGTCGATAACACTCTTCGATTTGGCTTGCAGTTGCGTGCGCAGTTCCTCTACATGTCCGTCGACCATGCGTTGGTCGATTTCGAACCGGCCGCTTTTAGGATCAAGCTGTAAGAAGCCCCAGCGAATCTCACCTTTGGGAAGACGTTCATCAATCGCCGTTTCCTTGCTATGGGAGATCCGCACACTACCAGTCTTCTTCTCATGTAGCTAGTTCTTTTGTTAGCCAATACGACAGAACCTTCATCAGTCTAAAACTCACCCTAACTCCCATGACCTCGGTGAACTTCAGAATGCTGGCCCACGCGCTCACGCATGTCTCGTAATTCTTATTCCAAAACCATACATCATCGCCGAGACGATACAGATCTGGACCGCCAGTCGCCTGGTTGACAGCAAAGTCCAGGCAAAATAGTACTGTTTCGCCCAGCACATCACTCAATGTATGAGAGCTCGGCATGCCTCGCCGACGCAAACGTGGCTCAGATGATGGATCGTCAGCAAACTTCAATGGAGCCTGCAGATATTTCTCAAAGAAATCCCTCCATTTCTTTGATACACCGAGAAATTCGAGGACTGCTGATATTGTTTGATGCGGTAGAAGTGAATTCCAGGAATCAAATGTCGTACGGAGACAAGTAAACTCGCCGTGTAGCCGGGTATTGAAAATGATTTCGGTAGCGACGATATGAAGCAGACTCTGCTTTGATTCCATGGGCTTCTTGGACTGATGACGGTAAATTTCATCTTCGTCCTGAAAGGAATCCTCAGAAAATATGTCGTCTTCATCCTCCTCATCAGATTCATCTACTTCAGCTTCAGCAACCAGAACCCTCCTAGCGAAATGCGACTTAGCCGCGGCTTTCACAGAGCGACCTTGAGCAAGGTCCGACTGCATGGGGGCGCCCAGTAGTAGATTGGAAGCGTAGTCTTTGTACTCTGCTTCTTCCTCGCCTTCTTCCACCTCGATCTTTTGTGAGTTAAAGTCCAGTAGTTGCTGTGCAAAGTATCTGTTCTCATGCGTGCCTTTTCGCTTCTGTTCTAGACTCTTTGAAGCATTTGTACCTTTCTTACCGAGGAAGTACATGCGCTGTAAGCGCTCGTCCCTACCGACCTCAGTAGAAGAATTCTTCCAAGCCTCGTGCTTATGCAAGTCTCTAAATGCAGACTTGAAGAACACAGACCTAGTCAACATTTGTTAGTTGTGTTAAAGTGGTTGAGAGCGAGTGAAGATACCATTGTATGCCGATGTAATGAAGGAAAATCGCTTGCAGAAGGCCAGGATCGAAATGGATCGAAAATTCGCCGTTGATCTTCCTCCTCTGTTCCACTAGGACGTGCGGGCCCCAATTCCAATTCTCGAGAGCTGTCATGCGCACGTTGAGAATGTCGCAGAGTTCTGTCAATATTATATCTGGTACAATCGTCAGTTGAGACCCCTCGACAGTACCGACTATACTGACTGTTGCCGAGAAAATCTCTCAAAGCCTCCCGCTTTTCATTAGAAAGCAGATCAGAATTTTGTAATCCTTGGATGGTCCAACGAAGTGAAAACAGGTCAAATGGATTCGACCTAGTTAGATTCTTCTCGAATTCTTGGACCTTCTTACGCAACTCATCGATTGCTGAGATGCTCTCTTTCTTGTCCTTGACAAAGAGGTCTTCGAGATATAGCTGTAGTGCATTTTCATCTACTTCAGCCTCCTGGAACACATCCCTCTCCCATTCTGCACAAGTAGCAAGCTTCTTCGCACCAGGCACCTCTTCAAAGCTCTCCGCCATCTCAATGTCGCCATCATTGTTTGTAGATTTTTCAGAGGAGAGCCATTCTGTGACAAGCTTCCCGTAGAGATTGGCATATTGGAACTTGGTGGACTGAATTGAAAGGTACTCGAGCAGTTTCTTTTCCCAATCCAAGACTACCTTACTTGACACAGAAGGGTCAAAGCGAGCTTGCTCAATAAAACGGTGCAGGTTCCGGAGGTCAGTTTCGAGGCCAGTGTTCCTTGTTCCGCTGATAATCACGTGGACAGCCCCCGCATCTTTGGAGTCCTTCACGATCTGAACGCCAAGGCATTCCTTCAAGCCGTCAAGTAAGATGCCAACTCGCTTCAACGCGTCTTTTTCTGATTTCACAGAGTCGAGCAGTCTGGCATATTTGTCCTCAAAGCTGATGCGTTGCTTTGCGAGCTCCTCTAACTTGGTGCTGGTGATTGTTTGGAGGGTCTCGCCGAAGACACTACCAGAAAAATTTGCCATTTTCGGAGAATATAAAACAAATTAGTGGACAGGAGGCGTGACGGGTCAGATGCGAGTAGATGGTCAGGATGCTACACAGTGGAGGCAGTGCGTTGCGTTGAGTTACAGCCGTGGGAAACTAAGGAAGAGATGACACGGGAAAGAATTGTGTCGAAAAAAAAACTTTTTTTTCAACGTGGGGATCCGATGGGGACAGTACTTTTTATATTGTATTCGTCGAGTCGCATTAGTAGTGTAGGCAGCAGGCGCTTGGCAGAATTACCCTACCGGGAAATAGGGTTTGACACACGACACAAGTACTACCATTTTACAACAACTGCTCGGTATTGTAAGTTGCTAGTAACAGTGCACCTTATTATGTTACTGCATGTCAATGTGACAGTACAAGGTACAGCTTAGACAATTATTTGAGTGTTGCGTCAAAAATGGGTGCTAGACATTGTTCGAATTGGAGCATCTCGATCCATAGTAACTGTCTAAATAATCACTGGATTTTCTGTTGATTTTGGCGATACCCATAGTAAATTAAAGAAGGCCTGCAAATCCCATGAAAGCATGTGTGTTGCTTATTGTATTTCCCTATGAACATTATCATCCAGTTGCGCCGCTCCTCTACAACAAAATACCGTGCACTATTTGGCTATTCCATTCCCCAAGGCTAAAATTTACTATATCACTGATGGAATTAGCGCGAGGCAGCTGCACGAAGTTTTGCTGCACAACCAGCTCTCGTCGAGCTATCATGCTATCCGAGAGACAACACTAGAAGCCAAATTACCGAATCTCCCTGTCCATCTAGATACTTCACAACACAAAGTCCCCTCATTAATACTGTCCCTCAACAGCGACGTCAACTCCTCTTCAAGAACCACTACTCCCTCACTCCCACCCATATACCGCACGTAATCCTCGCACAATCATACCTCTCCCACGAAACCCATCATCTCATCTCTACACCTCCTCATAACCCCCACAAACCCTCCTATCCTCCCGCACAACCTCTGCCGCACCACCACCCCCTCCTAGCTCCATCGTACCTAGCACCCTCGGCCCGACTCCCAGTCCCTCCCAACCTACCATTCCATCCACCACGCTAGCCATTTCTCCACGAACTCAGAATGCCCATCACCAACACATTCATCTCGCTACTCCCCAACCCCCCTCACCAGCCTCAGCCCAGGTAACTCTAATATCGCTTCCCTGCACCCACACCTCACACCCTCTTCCTTCTTTCGCTTAAACCCCCCCCACGTTAACCGCGGACGGGATCCAAAAGCAAATTCTCCTCCGCTCTCCAGCCACCAACGCCTTACCGTTGCTAAATTACTGCGACGGGAAGCGAGCCGCCCGTTTTCCTTTTTTTTTTTAAAAAAAAACCCCCCCCTGTCCCGTTTATGTATGTAGCGTTAGGGTGAGGGCGCTAGTATGGATGTGACAAGTGGGATAGACGACGGATGGGTATATCTTGCATTGATACTTTGTGTGGGTGTATGCGTTCCAGGTGCATCTTTTCTATGCATATAAGCATGTGTGTAGGTGGCAGATGGTGTGACGAATAATTTTTAGGATACCTGGATATCAGGGTGTTGGATATGGGGAGGGGAAGGGGGCGGTGATGTGTCTTGTCTCTTTCCTATTTCTCGTTGCGGGCCCGACGTGGCGGGCTGGGTAACGGGGGGCCGGATGGGTCGGTAGTACCGGGGTATTTTTTTTTCTGTTGTTGTTGGTGGCTTGCCTGCAAGGTACAGAATTCTTTGGTGCTTGTAAGAATAGTAGTTACGACTTCGGGGTGGATTCTTGATTTGGCAGGTGGTTAAGTCTATCGTCATTTCTATCGTGTATGTGTGAACTTTTCTTGTTGCTTTTCCTTTGTTTCATCCTCCTAAACACCCTATGTTATTTTAAACGAGAATCAAAGTCTTATCAGTATGCCCTACAGCTTCAGTGAGCTTGTTCGCTGCTCGACGGTGCTGGTGACGTGGATGCCGCGGTAATCCTTGGACGGTAGGATAAACTCTTCACTTCCGATGCTACCCTGTCCACGCACCATGTTTACCATCTGCCCATCTTCGAGCGCGACCCATTCCTCGTCTCTGCCGGTCAAATGGCTCTTGACAGTGGGTCGCTTTGCATAACTTGCTCCAGGTGTCTGGTGTGGGGTTGCGCTACTGCCACTGCTACCGAGCTTGAGAACGCGCTGTAGGAGAGGACGAAGGGTGGCGACACATCCTACAAGCATTCCGACACCGTTTTCGGCATAGCCCCAGAGGATGACATCAGCTACACCGTCTGTCGGGAGTATTAGCGTGTGCGGGGAGCAAGGGGAAAAGAGAGGGAAAGTGGAACTCACGGAGGTAGTCGGTCGAACTCGTAAGGTTCACAGTGTAAATGAGGCGAATGCATGCAGACAAACTGGCTCTGTGTGGAGCATTGGTTCAGCGATCATGTTCATGAAATAAGCGAGGCAGGGGGAACAAAAACTTACAAGGCTCCTAGACCGAGAATAACGCCGACAGAAAGCTTAGCATTGCGGTTGAGCTGCACGTTCCATAGTAACGGTATAGGCAGCAGGGCACAAAACCAATCCGTCGCAATGTTGATTGCCGTGGTCGCATAGTATATATCGGCAAGTGTCTGTGCAGGATTACATTTGCCTCCAGGTGTCGATTGATCCCAAGCGTATGACACGGGAGCGCACTGGAAAATGATGTACAGCAGGGCGATGAGATTCATGACGACGAACATGGCAGAAACGGCATACAGGCTGTAAATGTATTTTCTCCTCCGTGAAGCGACTCGAATCAGCATAAAAGAAATGCTCAGCTTGATTGGAATGATCGCCGCGCAGTAAAAGACTTCAAAGAAGAAGAAAAACTGGAGATTGTTAGTGTGAATTGTCACTTCCATGAACAAGTACATACCTGCATTCCCTTGATCTTGTCGCTTGGACTGAGTTTATTGTCGTGAATGCCGACGCCACTGAATGCACCGCCGATACACGATATCGTCAGGCCCGTGAAGGGAATCTGGCAAGTGTCCTGTCAGCATGACGCCTACCGCCAAAGTCAAAAGAGAGTGACTCACAGTCGCTAGAGTCATAGACCAATCATCAAGACCCCAAGCTTGATTGTGAAGTCTGGTGTAGACTCTCAATCCGAATGTGATGTACGCGATGGTAGCCAGTGCGATGACTGAGGCAGCGAGGTTGGGTGCCTTGTCCTCGAAGTAAGTCATGTTGGATCCTTTGCCCCGAATCCGAATTCCTATGGAACGAAGTAAGAGTGGCAATAAAGGTGAAAGAGGCAGTCCGCGGAGGTTATAAACGACTAGGTGGTGTTCTCAGAGGCCCTCAATCTGCCAGTGATGCAAGCGCAAAGTAATGTTCAAAACCTGCCATCCAGGGTCAAGACAAAGTAAGGTGGAGAATATAAAACAGATCTGCCCAGAGATAGAGGAAGAGAGATTGGACGCATGTCGGGGTGCTGTCGAAGATCCCCCATGCCAAATTACGACTCGCTTCAGATCATGGAACAATTCGACATTGGTCTTGCGCCAGAAGCCAAGTAAAAGACCCATGGGGGTCCAATTTTTTGTCGAATCGTGAGAAGGCTTCTAGGATACGGCCTGTAAGGTACGGCGAACAATTACTGGAATAGAACCATGTTCCGCCCCGTCGAGAACGTCGTTATGATGGTTGGTGAGGGTGGCCTAAAGTGGTGGCCGGTGTGGGAAGAGCGGCTGACCCATACATGTGGAACATGCTCGCGTCCGGACTCAAGAAAACGCAGGTACCGCGAAAGTCACACATTGAAGAATGAAGGTTTAGCGGATGTGATGCCATACTTCCAGTCGGGTTCCTCTCTTTTTCCAGACAGAATGCTAGCTCATTGTTATTGTGTGCTGTTTAGAATTCATCGCTTGGCTATCTAGTTGCATGTCTTGCAGATGACGGATTGAAAACCCTTCGGTTGGTATATTCGGTCTGCTCCCGCTCAAATTTCTCCAGATTTTTCGTGTCTGCAGGTCATAACAGTATCTGGGTCGGATCCAAGGTCGCCACGTCGGGAGATGATCCCGAGTATTAGTGGTTGTCACTAGTAAGCCTTGCATAAGCCACATACTCGCTTCTGACGTGCCCCATAAAAGGTCCGAAACGAAGATCTTCCATCCCCTGACCTGCCCATTCGGAACGGGACGCCCTATGGTGACTGGCTTGGATAAATGTATTCGTGTAAATACCCATGGAAAAAAGATAAGGCGACCATGAACTTGTAACAACAATATGCGAAGTGATCATTCCCTCCTTCCAAAAGGACTGCAGGCTTCAAGATGCGCCACACAGACACGGCTACTTGACACGGCACAGAAGGAGGGCCTGAAAGGGAAGTGGGTGTCTCACAGACTGTGGAGCAGTGACAGTTCCGCGTTCCACAGGCGAAGCCGGTTCCATTCCGCAATCATGTGTGACTGTCGAAGATCCCAAAGCACAAACACCTTTGTATACATGACGCTGAATGGTTGGTTTCATAGTGTGGACCCTGGGTAGCCTTATTTGATATGGGGCTGGAGGAATCGCGCGCTTATCGACTCGAATATCTAAAGAGGGTCAAAATCAAGGCAACTGGAGTCATGCAAACAGGCCAAAGCGGCTCCTTGTAAACCGCTGTCCAAAGTGCCAAGTCGCTTTTTGTAACTTACCAGAGCCACGGTACCATGGCACTCTTAGACCATGACTCGATGGCCAAGTCTTCGGTGTCTACAGAAAATGACTGAAGCGGTCAACCGCCACAGTGATACAGCTGCCATTGCACCTGCAGCGTGGAAACCCCTAGAACAATGGCCAAGCACGTAACACTTATGTTGTTAAGTTTGAAGTCGGTTCCATATGTCTTCCATTGATGGAAATGGAATTGGGGAAGATGGGTTGTGGAAGTCATTGGTAGGGATCGAAAGGGGCAGGTCTCCAGAGAAGATGTACCTGAACTGTCCGTTCGCTCTTACGATGGCGTATGAAGGAGAGTTCAAGACATGAAGTCGTAAAAGATCTACAGGGACAATTCGGAAGTGGGTGATCTTTGCAGGCTGTGGAACCTTGCAGGAGTGGGTGCAAGATGGAAGGATTGGTGATTTTGCGGGTCCGGGGTGATTATTGGTCTTTTTATGCGGATACAGGCATGCGTTTGCTTTTGTTGGAGGGAATGTAGGCACAAGGACCAATGCGCTCTTTTTGACTTTTCAATCTTTCGAGGTGGACTTTGCGAGCTTCTCCACAATTCGCGGAAGATGAAATGCCGGCTGAGCAGATCAGCGGGCTCGTGATTGCTTGGCCTTTTGTGAGACGCGCCACTGGGCTGTCTCTATTTGGCCTGTTGCTTTTGCGGATATAAAGCTTGAATTGTGGTTAGATGAGTTTCTCATTGAGTTGGGAGGGTTGTATAGAAAAGTACGAATGGTGGTCGAAAGCGGTGGTGGGCCAAGCTCGAGTCGCAAAGTTATGACTATAGGCCGGGCTGGCCACGTGACGAACATCAGTTAGGGAGAAGGAACGTCGGCACTTTTTAATTTATTTTTTTTGGTTTCGGTTGACGGTATCACTAGGTTTTGTGGCATTTTGACGTTCAACGACATCAAAACTTTGATTGGACGTCTAGTATTTTGAGCGCGTGACTTGGTTGCGTGCTATACAAAGACATCTGCTATAGCTGCAGCAGAAGAGTTGATGCAAATCGGGTAAGAAGGGATGACGCCCCTGACGTTAGTTTCAGAGGGTTGTGCAAGATGAGATGGGCAGTTTGGCGGCGAAGACAAGACTCGTACAAGCAGAGCATCAGGCGTTGTACACACCGAGCGTCGGTGCCCAATTGGGCAAAAACGAGGCCATGTGCCGTCGAGCAGATACGAGGGGCAAAGGCGATGCGAACAATGTGAGGGGGTGCGAAGATGGGTGGTAGTACGAGGTGGCATGACTAGAGAGTAGAGGCATGATGTTGATGTCGCCGGCAGATGCTTGCCCGAGCCGCATGTGACGTTGAGCCAGTGAGGGAGGGAGAGAGAGACGGAGGGAGGGAGGGAGTGTTTGTCTTCACACCCCGCCCCCCAACCGTCGCGTCGTCATACCATCCATATCGCCCTGTCTGATTTATGCCGCCCCAACGCTGACAAAGGCACACGACACAACCACCACCCGGGGGCTAGCAAGAGCAGGAGAAAGATAAGGACAAGACGAAGACGACGACGACGACGACGAATAGAAGCATAAGACGGCACGACAGCCACAGCCTGCGCCCGCTGCGACGCCACTGACTGCACCCAAGAGCAGAGAGAGCAGAGAGGGGGGAGCAAAGTGGGGCTCCGCTAAGCCGCCTTATGCGTGAGCTAAATCGCTGTCTGCCCGACGACATCACCACAGCAGCACCATACCGCCGCCATTGACCCCAGGTCTCTCCACCCGACTCTTCTCTTGGACGCGCGCCCCATCGCTCGCTCCAAGACGCGTTGCAGCGGCTCCCTCACCCCCAGAGACTGCCAGCCTGCCCGTCTGCCTGCGTGCACCCCCCCGTGTCGGTCTGTATCAGTGCCGGCGCACCCCTCCTCCCCCCAGCCAGCCCAGCGACGGCCAGGCACCTGAGCACGCCGTTGCCTCCATCGGCGAAGAAATTCCCCCCACCCGCCTTCTTCGCCGAACCCTCCTCTACACCGCGCCCTCGCCATGGCCAACGTCGAGGAGACCGTTGCCAATGTGCAGCGCAAAATCGACCGTGAAAAGGCCCTGATCAACGCCGCCAATACCATGCGCCAGTCGACCAACAACCCGGCCGTCCTCTCGCGCCTCGACGGCCAGATCAAGGACGGCCGCCGCAACATCGACTACTTCGAGTCCAAGCTGCGCGACCTCGACTTGCAGCGCACCACGTCGGGCGTCGACAACATGAGTCTGCAGCCAGGCCGCTCCCCCACCAATCCCCTGACCCCTCCGCCAAAGGACAACTGGGACGGCTACGCGCAGCAAGACCAGGGCGGCTATGGCGGGCCTCAGAGCCAGTACAGCCAGCTCAGCGGCGGCGAAGCTCTGCAGCCTCCTCGCGCGCCTTTTGCCGCACCGCCGCCTGGCACAGCTAACAAACGCCCCAACTACAGCAAGCTGGGTATATGCCTTTGCCGCGCCCTCCCCCGCTATGTGCGATGCTAACAAGTCCAGACCTTATCAAATACGACACTCCGCATCTCGGTCCCCGCATCCAGCTCATGCTGACCCAACTTGAATTCAAGCTTAGTGTAGAAAAACAGTACAAGGATGGCATTGAGAAGATGGTTCGCCTATACCAGATGGAAGGCGACCGCAAGAGCAAGCAAGATGCCGAAGCCAAGCGTATCGAGAGTAACCAGAAGATCCAGTTGCTCAAGCACTCGCTGAAGCGGTACGAGGATCTGCATGTTGACATTGACGGCGACGGCGACGATAGTAAGCCTCCACCACGGAAGAAGCAGCAATGCGTCCAAAGACTGACCATCGCACAGACGATAGTCTCGATATTCCTAGCCAAAGAAAACCGCTGAGCGGCCAGCTGTCTCTGCGCATACATGCCGTTGCCGATGTTGATCACGCAGCTACTGGGCGCTTTAGTCGGGGCCCAGAAACTTTTGTCAACATCAAGGTCGAGGACACCATCAAAGGCCGTACCAAGCCTACAAGGACCGACCGCTGGACCGACGAAGTCCACGACTTCAGCATCGACAAGGCAAACGAGATTGAAATCACAGTCTACGACAAGACCGGCGACCATCTTCTGCCCATTGGCATGCTGTGGGTGCGCATATCCGACATTGCCGAGGAGATGCGTAGGAAGAAGATTGAGACGGAGCTCGCAAACTCTGGCTGGGTCGCTGCTGACAAGATGGGAGGTCACGCCGGAATCCAGCCCGATATGCAGTTTCAGCCACCCCCAGGACAAGCCCCCGCCGGCGGTCCTGGTGGAGGCCCTGCTCCTGCTGGTGTGAGACCGCCTGGTGCCCCACAGCCGCAAACTGGACCTGTCATGATTGATGACTGGTTCTCACTAGAACCGGTTGGCCGCATCCATCTCACCATGTCATTTGCCAAGAACATAGGCAACAAGCAGCCCTTTGATCTTGGTCTTGGTCGTAAGGGTGCTGTCCGTCAACGCAAAGAGGACGTGGTCGAGCAGTATGGACACAAGTTTGTGCAGCAGCAGTTCTACAACGTCATGCGTTGCGCTCTCTGTGCTGAATTTCTCAAGTATGCCGCAGGCATGCAATGCTCCGACTGCAACTATACCTGTCACAAGAAATGCTATCCCAAAGTCGTCACAAAGTGCATCACCCAGTCCAACGCCGAGACCGATCCAGACGAGGCAAAGCTCAACCACCGAATTCCACATCGTTTCGAGAACTTTTCCAATATGGGTGCCAATTGGTGCTGTCACTGCGGTTACGTTCTTCCGCTTGGCCGGAAGCAGACTAAGAAGTGTAATGGTGAGTATCCCGACATGGCCGCCAGCTCTACCCTCATACTAACTTCACCACAGAATGTGGCCTCACTTGTCACGCTCACTGCGTTCACTTTGTACCAGACTTTTGCGGAATGTCCATGGAAGTCGCCAACCAGATTCTAATGGAGATTAAGAGAACCAGAAGAGGTCAATCTTCATCAGGCCCTGGTATGAGCCAACGCACTTTAAGGCCGCAATCGGCAGCGAAGCCATTGCCACCGACGCAGCCTCAATCTCCCGGACAGCCAGGCCAGGAATCACCAACCCAATCCGACAGGTACTCGTACGGCAAGGAACAAATGAGTCCTCCAGCCGGCCCGCCACGACAGCCATCTTATCCTTCATCGGCAACCTCAGTTGATGCTGCGCGCGCCTCCTACTCAACAACGGGAACGGGATCCACTGGAGCTCCTACATCGCCAACTTCGGGATCGAGACCTCCTTCGGGCCCACGCACACAGTCTTCAGTAGCTGCGGCCGCAGCAGCAATGAACAAGGCCACACAACCTGGATATGGCCGCAGCAACACAGATTACTCCCCGCAAAGTGGACGATCATCTGGCAGTGGATATCCAACGGAACAACGCATGTCACAGCAGCAAGCACCCCAACCAGCAGCCTACGACCCATCAGTCTACGCCAACATTCCAAGCTACCCACCAAGTCACCAACAGCCCGCGCCCGTGCCGTCCTACCCAACGAAATCCTCCTATCCTCTGCCCCAACCCCCGCCACCACAATCGCCGCCACAACAATCGCCGCCACAACATCCGCAGCAACCAACGCCTGCGCAGCAAAAGATGCCGGAGCCGCAGGCGCTCACCCAGCAGCCTCCATCGGCAGTGGGAGAAGCACCAGGAAAGAAGGTTACGCCCGCAGCCAACACACAGGGTACTGGCAAGAGGATAGGATTGGACCACTTCAATTTCCTTGCTGTATTGGGTAAAGGTAACTTTGGAAAGGTCATGTTGGCGGAAACCAAGACGACCAAGCAGCTGTACGCCATCAAGGTTCTGAAGAAGGAGTTCATTATCGAGAACGATGAAGTGGAGAGCACGCGCTCGGAGAAGAGAGTGTTTTTGATTGCCAACAAGGAGAGGCATCCCTTTTTGCTGAACCTTCACGCCTGTTTCCAAACCGAGACACGAGTTTACTTCGTCATGGAGTACATCAGTGGTGGTGATCTTATGCTGCACATTCAGCGTGGGCAATTCGGCACAAAACGCGCACAGTATGTTTTCGCCATATGGGCGAAGAAGCAGTTGCTAACAATGGCACAGGTTCTATGCGGCCGAGGTCTGCCTCGCCCTCAAGTACTTCCACGAGAACGGTGTCATTTACCGTGATTTGAAACTCGACAACATCATGTTGACTCTTGACGGACACATCAAGGTTGCCGATTATGGTTTGTGTAAAGAGGAGATGTGGTATGGCTCAACCACCAGCACATTCTGTGGTACTCCCGAGTTCATGGCACCAGAAGTAAGTTGTATATTTGGCCTAGCATGAGCGTGTCTGACACTGGATTCTCCAGATTCTCTTGGACAAGAAGTACGGACGCGCAGTTGACTGGTGGGCATTTGGTGTCCTTATCTACCAGATGCTGCTTCAGCAGTCGCCTTTCCGTGGTGAGGACGAAGACGAAATTTACGACGCCATTCTTGCCGACGAGCCGCTCTACCCCATCCACATGCCGCGCGACTCTGTATCAATCCTTCAAAAGTTGCTCACCCGTGAGCCTGAGATGCGTCTAGGATCTGGACCGACTGATGCACAGGAGATCATGTCCCATGCCTTTTTCAGGAACATCAACTGGGACGACATCTACCACAAGAGAGTGCAGCCGCCATTTATTCCACAGATTACGAGCCCGACGGACACGAGCAATTTCGATACCGAGTTTACGAGTGTTACACCGGTGCTCACACCTGTGCAATCTGGTATGTGGACCCGTGCAGCCATATCATATTTAGGAAATTTTGCTGACAACAAATCTAGTTCTTTCGCAAGCCATGCAAGAAGAGTTCCGTGGTTTCTCGTACTCTGCCGATTTTGCTTAATCGTACGCCACTTCCTGATACCCTGGGCTTTTTGTTTTGGAGAAAATGCGGTCGTCATTTGCTCTTGTGTATTGGCATGCTCAGCAACGGGCCCGGCGGCGAGTAGGCGATCAGGACTGAGGAAGCTCACCAGTGTGGCCTTGTTCGCGTGAAAAAGCGTTGTTTGGTTGGCGAGTTGGTCTTTTGTTGGGGTAGTAATACTATGACGGATGAGGAAGCAAAAGATGGTTGTTTGTGTGTGTGTGTGTGTGTGTTTTGGAGTGTATTGGTACGGGGTGTGCGAGCAGACTAGGCTGGGTGGGGACGAAGTATACATGGACAGCCGGATGTGCGTTTGGTACGAAGAAGAGTTTTTATGGTGAGAGTGAATGTAGTGTTGGGAAGCGTTGCAGCAAACGAGCAAACGAGCAAGCAACAATAGTCCGTCTGCAAATCAGCCATGTACAGCAATAGATGAAACAGGGGAAATGTGTCTCGAGCATTTGGCTCTAGCTAAAGATGCGGTGTGTTCTTTCAGTTTACGAGCCAGCGTCATCATCATTTTATTAGGCTACTAGGGTTTGGGCGATCATTTCCTTCATGCCCCTGAAAATGCGGGGAAACTGAGCCTGTATACTACCCCGCAAATAACTTTCTAGCTTATAACCTCGGTGCCACCGTATTAGCTCGTCCAGTATGCTTAGAGCGTGCTACAAAAGATAGGATGAGTCAGTATACTCTTAAAACCCCTTGTGAAAGCCACAGGACTAGGTCAAGGATCAAGCAGACTAATATTTTTTATTCTTGTCATGGTAGTCAACGAATAAGGAATACCTCAGAAGTGAAACTATCATGGCGTGTATGCTTCAAGCTCATTTCTATGATGATTTAGAGAAATCGCTAACTAGTATTCATCAGTACCTATCGTTCTTGGAGCTGCTGGCACTGCAGCTCTCACTGCCTATCTCAACGCCAAATACCATGTAGCCCACGACCTCAAGATGATTGGCGGTGTAATGACGCAGCCGTCCGAAGACATTAACTTCATGAACAATCGAATCACACAAAAGCGCATTCTCACGCATCATATCTTCCAAGACCAGGTCCGAAAACAACCAAACCATCCCTTTCTTATCTTTGAAGGCAAGATATGGTCGTACAAAGAGTTCTCCGAGGCATACACGAGGGTTGCGAACTGGCTGGTTGATGAGCTGGGCGTACAGGTAGAAGAGATAGTCGCAATCGACGGTGGGAACAGTCCGGAGCACTTGATGCTTTGGCTTGCACTTGATGCAATCGGTGCGTCTACGAGTTTTCTGAATTGGAACCTGACGGGGGCGGGGTTGATTCATTGCACAAAGGTAAATCCCTCGGTCATAAAGTGAATTTATATTGCATCTAACGAGCATCCCAGCTATGCAATTCTCGGTTCCTCATTGCAGACGTAGATGTTGAAGCAAACGTTGAACAGTGCCGTGGCGAACTTGAGAAGACGGGCATCAAAATTCATTACTATAACCCATCGTTCTTCTCTTCGCTATCAAACAATACGCCAATTTCCGACAGTCGTACTGAAAACATTGAATTAGAGTCGGTGCGATGCCTGCTATACACATCTGGAACAACTGGCCTACCCAAAGGTGTGTGCATTACCACCGTCCGGGAGCTTATGGTTGGCTGGTCAATGTCAAAGCGTCTGAATATCAAGCCCGAGGATCGAATGTATACATGTATGCCGCTCTACCATGGCGCTGCACATAACCTTTGTACAGCAACAATGATTCATGGCGGAGGAACCGTGGTATTGAGCAGGAAATTCTCACACAAGACGTTCTGGCCCGAGGTTGCGGCTTCAGAGGCAAACGTTATTCAATATGTCGGCGAGTTATGTCGATATCTCTTGAACGGCCCAAAAAACCCGTACGAAAGGGCCCACAAGGTGCACATGGCGTGGGGCAATGGCATGCGTCCAGACGTGTGGGAACCGTTCCGCGAACGCTTCAACATACCAGTCATTCACGAGCTTTTCGCCGCAACCGATGGGCTTGGGTCATCATTCAATCGCAACGCGGGCCCTTTTACAGCAAGTTGTATTGGACTACGAGGGTTGATCTGGAATTGGAAATTTCGAAACCAGGAAGTACTGGTCAAGATGGACCTCGATGCTGAAGAGATCGTGAGAGATCGCAATGGATTTGCAAGGCGGTGCAGTGTCAATGAACCTGGACAGATGCTTTATCGGGTGACACCTGAAACGCTGGCTACTGTACCGAACTACTATGACAACAAGGCGGCTACACAGAAGAGGCTATTTACAGATGTTTTTGAAAAGGGTGACATGTAAGCTCTATGATGTCAATTTAGCGGGAAAGAATGCTTACTTGAAATAGGTGGTTCAAGTCCGGTGACATGCTCCGGCAAGACGCTGAAGGCCGAGTCTTCTTCGTCGATCGACTCGGCGATACATTTCGCTGGAAATCCGAAAACGTTTCTACCAATGAAGTCGCAGACATGATGGGCACATTCCCCCAGATTGCCGAAGCAAGCGTGTACGGCGTCCTTGTGCCAGGTCACGATGGCCGCGCTGGCGCAGCCTCAATTGTCATGGCAGACGGCGTGACAGAGACGACGTTCGACTTTGGTGCCGTTGCAAAGCACGCCCAAGCTCGGTTGCCGAGCTATGCCGTACCACTGTTTCTGAGAGTTACTCCGGCACTTGAATATACAGGAACGATGAAGATTAGTAAAGGGCGCCTCAAGAAGGAAGGTATGGACCCTGAGAAAATCACGGGCGAAGACAAGTTATACTGGCTGCCGCCTGGTAGCGATAGATATTTGCCATTTGGAAAGACGGAATGGCAGGGACTTGTGGATAAGCGGATACATCTGTCGTAATTATCCTTTTTCAGCAATTTCTAGATGTAGAGAAATATTATGGCTAGCGGGGATTCAGGCTTTACATGTCTCGTGGTTTTGATTCCATGATACATGTGAGGGAAAGAGGCACGTGCGTGAGAACCCTAGTTCTGTTCCCCGGTGCCAAGACTGAGACACCGCGGGTGGCGATCTCCGTGTTAGTCAGCCCGATGTGTTTGGATTTCTGTAACTCTGCATTCAACCCTCTCACTCTACCACCACACACCCCGCTACCCCACCTGTCACTGCAATCTGTCACGCTACGATCGCTCTGTAGTTGTAGCGATTCCGAAACACGAGAACACGTACCACAGCGTATTTCGACTACACTGGACATAGAATACTTCGCGCGCATTCACGACTACACCATACGCACATCACATCCACCAACACCAACACATATACACACGTAAATTATGGGCAAAGCGGAAGCCGGTAGCACAAAATGGGTCGCGAACAAGATGAAGTCGAAGGGGCTGCAGCGCCTGCGCTGGTGGTGTGAGCCCTGTCAGAAGCAGTGTCGCGACGCCAACGGATTCAAATGCCACGTACAGAGCGAGAGCCATGTCAGGAATCTCCAGATTGTCGGCGAGGATCCAAAGAAGTTCATCAACAACTTCAGTAATGATTTCCAGAGGGATTTCGTCAACTTATTGCGGACGGCGCATAACGAAAAGGTTTGTACAGTCTCCTTGGCTCTGGTAAAGCGCTGTTCAACTAACATGGTCACAGTGGATATCTGCGAACAAATTCTACAATGAGTATATTAGGGATAAGGAGCATGTACATAGTGAGTAAATCAGACCCTTAAATGTTGCGGAAACGTACTAATCACCAACAGTGAACGCTACGAAATGGAGCTCGCTCACAGAATTTACAAAGCATCTTGGTCGCGAGGGTATTTGCCATGTCAAAGAAGACGAAAAAGACGGTTTGATGATCGCATGGCGGGACACCAGTGCTGCCGCGGTACAGAGACGCAACGAGATTGCGGAATTAGAGGCCGCCGAAGCGCGCAGTGGAGCTGGCGAAGACAAGATGCTCAAAAAGATGGCAAAGCGTGCTCAGGAAGAAGCCGAAGCTAAGAAAGCCATCGAAGCGAAACGAGCGGCAGCCCAGGCAGCGATACAACAACAAGTTACCCCACCCGCGGAAGAGGCCTCGCCAACAGAAGGCAAGAAATCGGATTCACCGGCTGATGGGGATAACCAAGGGGAAGAAAAGAAAGAAGGCGAGGAAGCGAAGGTCGATGCAGCACCTGTCAAACTAAGTTTCGGTCTAAAGGCAAAGGCCGCTCCAGCTAACAAGGCTGGCCTCGGACAAATGAAGAGTCAAAGCATCTTCAAACGAAAGAAGGATGATGCGTCGGAGCAGAAGTCAGTCAAGAAGGTCAAGTTGTAAAAAGGGAACCAGGATTTCGATTTTTGTTAAGCATAGCGCGGCGTTTGGTGTATTGTGACAAGATGTATTATACCGAAGGCTGATACCATGGATTTGGGGTTGTTATAGCAGCAAAATAGACTATGTTTGATTTGCATACGAACTTCACGTATATGAGGCATGTCCGTTGACAAACAGAGGACAGTTTAGCTAGAGAGACGTAATTGATTAATGGAACATACATATTTTGTCGCCTTGCTAATTGCACCTGCAGTGTCTCCCATCACACTAACCTACCAGGCAATCGCAGTCTTGCATGACCAGGGTGTTTGATTATGTAAGGCGGCGACCGGCGATGCCATCAGTCATGGGCCGATGGCATCGCTACTACTAGATGTTTAGAGCATCGCGTGTCCGTCATCAACCGCCTTGTAGCCACAATTGAACTCGCCATGGCGTCGCGCACACGGCTGGCAGCCACCACGGCTTCAACACTATTACGAGGCTCGCGGCCATTGGCAAACTCGAGGATAACACCACTGGCTGCTGCAGTGACGACATTGTCGGCCCGCAGCAACTCACACCTCAGCTCACAGTCCGCCACGAACCCGACAAGTGTCTTCTCATCGTTTGGCCAGCTGACATCTGCATCGGGGCCTCCATCGTACTTTTCCTCGTCACATAGGCGCCTGCCCACCAACACCATTATTCGCTTTGTGCCGCAGCAAACAGCATGGATCGTCGAGCGCATGGGAAAGTTCAACCGCATACTGGAGCCTGGTCTGGCCATCCTGATACCCTTCATTGACCGAATAGCCTATGTCAAGAGCCTCAAGGAGAATGCCATTGAGATACCTAGCCAGAGCGCCATCACAGCCGACAATGTCACACTCGAGCTTGACGGCGTACTGTACACTCGTGTGTTTGATGCATACAAGGCGAGGTGAGTGCTGCCAGATGAATTAGAGGCTACCAAGATACTAACGGCAAACAGCTACGGTGTAGAAGACGCAGAGTATGCCATCTCCCAGCTTGCACAGACGACGATGCGCTCCGAAATCGGCCAGCTTTCCCTCGACCACGTCCTCAAGGAGCGCGCCAACCTCAATGCGAACATCACTGCCGCCATCAACGAGGCCGCCCAGGACTGGGGCGTTACTTGCCTGCGCTACGAGATCCGTGACATTCACGCGCCCGAACCCGTTGTCGAAGCCATGCACCGTCAAGTCACTGCTGAGCGATCCAAGCGGGCCGAGATTCTCGAGTCCGAGGGTCAAAGGCAGTCTGCCATCAACATTGCCGAGGGAAAGAAGCAGTCTGTGATTCTGGCATCCGAGGCTCTGAGGGCAGAGCAGATCAACATGGCAAGCGGAGAGGCTGAGGCCATCTTGCTCAAGGCCAGGGCTACAGCCAACGGTATCGATGCTGTTGCACGCTCCATTGCTCAAGGCGAAGGCGCCGCGCAGAATGCCATTTCGCTCTCTGTTGCTGAGAAGTATGTTGACGCCTTTGGTAACCTTGCCAAGGAGGGCACCAGCATTGTGGTTCCTGGTAATGTGGGTGACATCAGCGGCATGATTGCCAGTGCCATGGCAGTCTACGGTAACGTCAGCGCTTCGCAAGCAAAGGCGTCCAAGTCGATCGAAGGTGGACGGGCCAGCACACAAGCCAGCGAGAAGATCAAGGAGCTTCAGAACAAGCTGAACAATGTCGAGAGCGGGACTAGCGAGGTGCACAGTGAGATCAACAAGGCCATGGACCAGAGGTTGAATAACAGGTAGCCGTGAGCAGTGGTTGAGGAAAGGGAGGAGGTAGGATGGGAACGCGATACGATTGTACATTACACCAAGCTGTATGACTAGCACGGCCCACGAAACGATTGCATCAGGGTTATTGGATACGGGCCATTGAAAAGCATTCCCCGAGGAGTCTTGTTTTCCTGCGTCAAGACTCCATCCCTTGTATATTAAATAAGGAATCGCAACAGGCAATCAACATGACTTTTTGAAACCAAGATAGCACATAGTGTATGTTGTTGTGCGATGTGATCGCAGCCCTTTTGTCTATTCATTAGCATCTCTACCCCTCTACATACTCATGTCAACCGTTGCACCACCTCAGCCACCAAGGTAGCAATCTGCTTCCCATCCTCCCAAATCTCGTCATGCCCACCCTTTAGATCCCTCACATTAAGCACTCTCCTGCCCTCGGCCCTCACCTCATCCTCCTCATCCCCAGCCTCCATAACAATACTCCACCCCTGCCGATCCAGCGCCACACACATGACATCGCGCTGCGCCCGCTCCACAAGCTCATCCTCGTAGCTATGGCAAATAAGTAATAACCTCCCTTGGGGCCACTGCTCCACGTTGTATTTCCCAGACACGGGCGATACTTGCAACAAGTCTTTTTCGGTCGCCTCGGCCCCAAACGCATCAGACACAAAGGAGCGGTATATGGTTGAAATGTCCTCGGGACACGCAGGCGGCGCGTGGTTTCTCAGCAACAAGGGGATGTTGTAGATTCCCTCGAGCAACACCAGGGCTTCGGGTCCCGCTAGCGGCTCTGCCGCATCAGGCTCAGCACCTATTCCCGAAACAAGCTGCGCGAGCATGGTTGCGCCGCAGGAATGCCCGACGCCGATCCAGCGCTTCAGGCCGTGGTTCTGCGCCAGGAAGCGTAGCGCGGCGGCGACATCGCGGATGTGGGTTGGATGCTGGACTGAGCGGTCTGGGTCCGAGGGGGAGCTGGGGTGCGTGGGGTGCGCGGGGTAGGGCGAGAGGCGGTAGTTGAGGCTTGCGATGCCGGCGAGGGAGGGGAGCGTGGATGAGGCGTGCGAAGTGGTGAGGTGTGAGAGGAGGGGGTGGATGCAGGTCGAGTCTTGGAGGGGGTCGTGCCAGGCGCCGCCGTGGAGGTAGATGAGCCAGAGGGAGGGGGAAGGGGAAGGTGCGGCTGGGGTGGCTGTGGGAAGCCAGATGTCGAGGGTGCGGAGGCGGCTGGCGGGGGTGGTGTAGGGGAGGGAGCCTAGGTGGTTGAGGGAGGGGGAGGCTGACGCCATTGTGGAGGAGGGGTTTTTCTTTTGGATGGCTAGCTAGCTAGATGGTTGGAAGAAGGAATTGGATAACGGGAAACAGGAAACGGCTTTGTGGGGGGGGGGTTTGCGAGAGAGCGAGAGGTGAAGTTGCTACATATCAATGTTGGGTTTGACGTACGCTAATCTCAAGTCTGCAGCTTTAGCAAAAAGTTTCCTGTCACTCTAGAGTCTCACTAGATTGTAGTAGGCAGTAAGGATGTTTCAAATGTTTTTAAGATTTTGGTAATGGGCTTGTCTCTTTAAATTACTAAAGAATTGAAACCCAAAAAACCCACCGCGGCGTACTAATACCACATGGCGCATTCAATTGCCTCGTGATTGTTTTCCTCCACCGTCAAATAACAGACATTACAAAAAACCAGATTTCCAAAATTTCCCAGGCAAAAGCACATGCCAGTGCTAAGAGGGGTTGCGCCAAGTAGCGTTTTCGGGGTAAAAAAACGGACATGCTAAGGTATCTTTAAGGACATTACTTCCGAACATGATCAAAACATCTCTCTTCAAGAGACAGAACAGAAAATCAAATCGTCAAACGCGTCTCGTTGGTAAAAAAGAGCGTTTACAGGAAAGCGGCCATGAAGGCACCGAAGCCCATGAGGCTACCGGCGGCGACCTTGACGTTGGAGGCAGCGCCAGTGGAGTCGGGGCGGCCGCCACTGCTAGTAGGAGAGGAACCGGAGCCAGAGCCAGAGCGAGTGGCGCCAGAGCCGGAGGCGCCGCTGCCGGTAGCGCCGGCACCGGAAGCAGTGGTGGCAGGAGCAAGGACGACAGTGGTGCTGTTGTTTGCGCTGACGGTGACAGTGCGGGTCTGGTTGACAGCGGTGCCAGTGCCAGTGCCGCCGAGGGTCAGGGTGTAGACACCAGGGCCAACGGCGGGAATGTTGGCGGGAAGAGGCTGAGAAGTGACAACAGCAGGCTGGTCGGTGACGGCGTTGGGCTGGTTGGCAATGGAAGTGTCAACCGGGGGCATGCCGGTAACGACGCCCAGAGAGTTTGTCTGGGTCAGGAAAGCAGTCTGGGGAGCAGGGTCCTCGGACGGGGAAGCGTTCTGTGGTAGACATGTCAGAACCAGATTTTGAACAATTGGCAATGTGAGAGAATTCAGCGTACCTGAGCCGAAGCAAGGGCAAAAGCCACGGTGGAGACGAAGATGGAGGCACGCATTTTGGTGGTAGTGGTGTGGATGTTTGTTTTTCGGGTGGTGGTTGTGATATTAAACAAGACGCGTGTTTGAGCGATTGAAAATTGACGGTAAAGGTCAAGTTTGCAGGTAGCGATTCAGACGAGTAGCGACTGGAGCGAGATGGGATGGAGCAGGAAGACAATTGTGGTCAACGCGACGCGCCCTCCTTTTATTGCCGCTGTTCTCTTCACCCGCTCCTGAGGAACAGGCATACGAGCTAACACTAGCCCGAGAGGCCCGCGCCACCCTGACCAGGCAACCAGCCAGCCTCGTGCTTAACCCCAATCGGTCAGCCTGCGCCGTGACAAGCTGTTAGCGGCCAGCACAGCCAATAGCCGCCCTGTTTGGTGGCGACCATGTTTCGCGTCCGTTGTGGCAGCGGAGATATTTTTTTATTGATTTCACATCGTCCTTGCAGATGCTGATCGCGATATGTGCCAATACTGGGTCATACTACTCAACTACTACTTACAAGCAGCACACAACGGTGTTGTCTTGGACGCCGAGACAGGAACGAATTGGTCCCATTGTCGTCTCAGCATGTTGGCCCAAAAGAAGGAAAACAAAAATATCACAGCTCATGCACGCACACGATGACCTGTCAGGTGCGCCTCTGGTGCTGACCAGCCCAGCCTCATCCCGAGTTTCAGCAAACCTCTCGCCATCTTTCCAGCCTTCTCTCAGCGCAGTGCGGTGAGGTGAGGTGTGGTGTGGTGTGGTGTGGTGTGCGGGCTCCCGCAGAAACAAAGCGCATGCTGTCGTCATGTCCCCAGTCGAATCCTCTGCCGACCCCGGCCTCAGCCTCTCCACTTTTAACATGGCAATTTTTCAATGCTCGCCGCTCCGTTGGGCGCACTGGCACTCGTCAAACGGCGCGCGCATCCCTTTGTCCTTGGTTTCCCCAACGTCTGTCTGCTAAAAAAAACACTGTACTCTGACTACTTACACACAGGCCCTGGCGGCAATAGGGCAGAACAGCAAGTACGAGGTAAGCAAGCACTGCGGTCCGTCACGTGCACAATCGATAAGCTTGCCGGCCGGTTGCTTAATTTTATCAGCCCTTTGCAAGACTGACCCTACTTCGCTACCACTATACCCCCATTACTTCATCCATAGCATTCAGCATGCAATACCCGCCAATGATGGCCAATATCGCTTATTCAATAATGGCAAACACACGGCATTACGCGTCCTCTCGGAAGCTGCTGGGCTCTAAAATTAGGCCCGACAGCATCATCTCGTATGGCTCTTCGTAAATGTGAGCGAGTGGGTTACGCAGGGGCTCAGCCAAGGGGCTGGAGCGGCAACCAGGTCCCGTTTGGGCATGGCCTCGGGTTCGCTCCAAGCAAAAGGTGGAAAGGTGGGTGGCATGCCTGTCCGCGCCCTCGACAACGGCTGAATGGGGGCCCTCGCCTTGGCCCTGCATGGTCTCCTGAGCGACATGTGCTCTCAGTCACCGCACACCGTCTGTTCAACTTGGTCGCCCTGCTGTCGCTGCTTGTTTGTTTGCTACGGAGCAAAGTGTCGGTCAACTACTTGCGTTCAAACTCTATCACATCGACACTACACATGTTCGAAACAGAATGGCTGGATTGAGGCTGGCCACCTAGCCTGGACTAGTGGCGCTTCCCAACCTCACCAGCCCGCAGTCTGCAGCCCGCCCGCAACTCTGCATACCTGTCTCACGAACGTTACATCGGCCATTGCCTCAACGCCATCTGATTTTCTGATCGTCTCGATTTCATCCGCAGCAGATCTATTGACACCAATGTGACATTTACAGGCAGCTGACGCTGCCAGACAGACCTCAGTCTCCTTAGACGGAGACGGCGTGTTCCAAACCCGCGCTTCCATCTGATCAGCCATCAGCTGCAATGGTAGCTTACCACCCAGTCTTCTTCCACACACACACACACACATTCTATTTGCCTCATCCCATCTCAATTCCATGCTCTAGCATCCAAACGAAACTCTATCCTCATCACCGCTAAAACACCACACTCTATCTCACGTTTCCCATTCCTTTTCCCCACCTCAACAGCACCCGCCCAAACCTTTTCCTTTACCTCTTGCATCTACCGCATCAACACGAAAAAAAATCCCCACATTTAGCGTCATCCCTTGTGCCCATACTATGCCCCCGTCAATCCCAGCCCATCTCTCCCCAAGTAATATCCAACAAATATTCAAAATCGCGACCATACTCTCTTCCCTCCCATCAAATTACATAACAGATCACACGCACAGACAAAACGCAGGTCATCAGATCTTCCACACATATAAAAAGCAAGTCCTTATACTTAAAAGAGGGAAACGATGCGATCAAGAAGGGTCTTTGCCAGGGAAAGATTACGTTAGAGTACCACAGAACGTGGCAGCGTGATGCATAGTATCCCTGATGCGCAAAATGCGTGGTGAGGATTGAGAATATGGCGCTTGAACGAAAAGAAGAAAAAACAAATGTAAACACCAGACCGTCAACGTTCCAGCGGCCGTTTTGCGTTGAAACATCTGGGGTTCTGCTTCTACAAGGAAGATGGGGATTGCATGTTTCCCATCTCTGACATGGAAAATTCAAGCACAAACGCATGATTCCGCATGCATATTGAATTGAAGCTTTGATGTTGGATTCAATCGGGTTTCATTTGCTTTCTTTTGTTCTCAACGTAGAAACAGCATGGAAACCCATGCCTGTGATAGACATTTCTACAAAGCAGAATACCCCGCCTGAGCATGAAACACCCCATCCTCATGAACCAAATGCCTTCAAGAGAGAAAAGAAAAGAAAAGAACCATCAAGTTTAAATTGGAGTAGAGAAAAAAAGAACTTCTCCCCTCACTTCAAGACATGGTTGTTCTATTACAAAAAGGGGGGGGTATGTGATATCTACAACTGCCCAAAACCTAGATCCATCCCTCTTTTTTCGAACCCAATGAAGAAAACATGGCGTACTTGTACGACAACGCGCTCCTTTTACTTGTGACAACAAAAAAAACGATAACGACATCAAGGCACCACGACCTCACATAACAAGTCTCAAAAAAAATCTTCGTCTTCTTCTTCTTTTAAGTTGAGGGAGAGAAAAAAAAAGGATGATCCTTCTCTGCCCAAAAAAAAGTACTACTATATCAACGCCAAGATCACGAAAGGGCTTATTCGCTATCCTCATCAGCAAGCAACTTGGCGTAATCATCCGCCGACGCAAAAGTAGGTAGACTCTTAAGCTTGCGTTTCTTGCTCTTACGCCCATCTTTTGCGGCGCCTTCATCCTCGTCGACGTCAAGATCAACAGGGACGTCGGCGTCGCTATCCATGAACGCGTCTTCATCGTCGAGATCGAAATTTGCAAAGTCGTCGTCGTCGTCATCATCATCGGCCGCGGCGTGCTGACCACCCGTTTCGACGTCTTGATCAAAGTCGTCGTCGCTACCGAGATTCAGTTCAACGCCGCCGTCCATACCGCCTGCGCCCTCATCGTCATCGCTCATCATATCGTCCATGTCGAAGTCGCTGAGATCGTCGTCGTCGCCGCCGTCGCCCTCGACTTCGGGCCTGCTCTTGACGAGGGCCTGCCAGATTTCCTCGTCGTCGGCGCTGTCCTCGCTGTCGTCCTGCTTGCGGTTCTTCTTCTTCGTCTTCTTCTCCGCCTGCTTGGCCTTGCCGGCTTTCTCAAAGTACGTGTGAAAGAAGACTTCGTCGTCGCGCACGTCGTCGACCTTGCGGCGCCAGAATTGCTCAGAGTTGAGCGGGTCGTGCGTTCGGTCGCCGTCGCGCGTCGTGATGAGGTACGAGGCTGCTTTGGAGGTGCCGGCCATGGGCTGCATGATGGATGTGCCGTGGATGCCCGAGGACTTGGTCTTTGCGTTCTTGAAGGAGAATTTGTCTAGGAAGTTCATCAGAGTGTAGATTGTTGGGTCGGGCTTCTCCTTGATGGGCTCTTGGTTGACAATCTTGGAGGCGAGCACATGCACCGAGGGGTGGTAATGTGCTTGCAACGGCAGTAACTCCCACAAGCACGACAGGTCAGCTCTTGCGTGTTCTGGATCCCGTTTCCGGGAATCGTAGGCTGGCGCTGTAGATTTGTCCTCGCTCTTGTTGGTTGTCGGCTCCTTTTCCTCGTCAACATCCTCGTAGTGTTCATCGCCGCTGTCATCAGCATGGTCTTCTGGTGTAGATAGCATGGACTTGATGCTCGGGAAGGTGTTGATCAACTCGTTTACAAGGTACAAGACTCCGCAAATGAACGGAGGTTCATGCATGTGGATGGTCTGGAGCAGACGCTTCACAAAGGCCTTTACGCGCTTAATGCTCGTGTCAGCCTTGAGCGACCTGTATAGCAAGTTCAAAAACATAATGTGCTTTGAAGTTGTCATGAGACGTGGATCCAGAAGCGACTCGTACAGCGTACGGTAGAAGCGGTCCGCAGAATAATGCTTCGTTGCCGAGATCTGCTGAATCAGAGTCATGGCCTGGATACTGGTGTTGAAGTTGGAAGAGTGCGTCACTTCGAAGATCATGTTCAGCTGGTCCTCAAACTTGGCGTCGTCGGTTTTGGCAAAGGGAAATGCGCGGTTGACGCCCGTCAAGATTGCCGAAATGAGCTTCTCGCGCGACTCGTCCTCGACCTTGAAAGCCATGGTAGCTGCCTTTTCGGCCTTTTGCCTGGCCATCTTGCCTGGCTTTCCACCGCCTCCTTGGATGAGGCCATGCTTGTTCAGCCGCTTCTCTTCCTTTTCATGTTCCTTTTGTTTCTTCAGCAGGCCCAAGAAGAGACTAAAGTAGATTTCCAACAGTTTGTTGGCTACCTCGGGCTCCTTCAGGCTGAGGACGGTCTGGTTGAGGGTGATGACAGCGTAGTATTTGGCGATTCCGCTCTGGTTCGGTCGGAAGAGTAGATCGGACTCGATGGAGCTAATGATGACATTCTTCATGAGCGGGTGGGTGTTTTGCAGCTGGAGCAGCAGATACGAGGCCCTAGATGCAACCTTCTTCTCCTTGTCTCCTAGCTTGTTGATAAGCAGTCGCAGCAGATTTTCTTCCTGTTCTGGTTTTTCCTTGAGGAGCTCCCAAACATATGTGACTGCGCGATTGCGCGAGAACTCAACCTCATCGTTAGACCAGGCCTCGAGAATCTTGAGCAGCTCAAAGTATTGCTTCTTTAGCCAGTCCTCGAACGCCCACACAATCAAATGCGTTTTTTGCAGGCTACCAGGAAGCTTCTCACCCGCTTTCCAGTGCGCATTCTTTCCCTGGATCGCAGAGAGGAGGGCTGGCTGTCGCGCAAACGCCTTTAATTTTCGGTCTGGAGGAAGGAGGACACCCTGGCCGAGCAAATCCTTTAGTGCAGCCAAAGCCTGCATGGCGGCATTCCTGCTCTTCTTCTGCGATAATCCCATGAGCTGGCCAAAAGCCTTTTGCGTGTGCAGTGGCGACTCTTGGACCAAGAGCGTCAGAGCTGACACCTTGTCCTCCATGGTACCAGAGTCCATGACAGTAGCCATGAACTTGTGCGATGAGTCTTTTGCAAGGTGCGAGGCTGCATACTCCTTGGCCTCTGCGTCGAGCAACTGGACGGCATAGTCGTGGAGGGCATCGATGATGTAACGCGGCGGGATAGTGGGATTTTCGACGATAGGAAGCTCTGGAAGGTCAATGGCATGCCATTCTGGCTGCGGCTTAATCAGCTGTTTCGCGTTAGTATGGCGATACAGTAAAGGTGGTTTTTCTCCAGGGCGCATACAAGCTGCGACTGCGCGTGCGGCTTCTTCTGGTCCTTCTTGTGCTCTTTCTTCGCGCTCAGCCGGCCCTGGTCCGGCTCGGGCTTCGCAAAGCCATCCTTGGTCTCGGCATGGGTTCGCTTCTTCCCCATTTGATGTCTTTGGTGTCGCGCGCGGAGCAGCTGCAAGGTCCGTCAGAGAATTTCCTCTGACCCGTCACGACCGCAAAAAAGATGGCGGCGCTCGCACGGCGATGAGTCGAGAATTTGAAGATTCTTGGCACGCTAGCAGTGTGCCCTAGCGCGGTGGGGCCCGTCATTGTGCAGCACATCGTCGGACCCTGTCGGCAGCGGAATAATGCCAAAACACCACCCCCGTGACTCAGCCGTATCCCCAAATTAACAATGCGTGTAGTGGCCCGGTCATACAACATATAGACACTGCCATTGACACGTGTCCCGTCAAACACACGTCCATCTCACCACCATCAACCCTCTGCCCCGCCAGCCTACCCCGCCGGCGAGCAAATCACACCAATTCACCCTACCATGGCTACCGATGCTGCCGACGAGGACAAGAAGACGTCCATCACGCCCCTCCTCAAACGTCTCTGGCATGAGTCACCCACCACCAAGCCAACTGCCGACGAGATTGCAGCTGCACTCGCCTTGATCTTTACCAACAGTCTCTCAGAGGTCCAGACAGGCGCATTGTTAACATGTCTCCACTTCACAGATCAGGACAGACAGGCCGACGTGTTGGCAAAGTGCTCCAAGGCCATGCGTGATTTTTCAACTGACGTGGATATCCAAGGCCTGCAAGAGCTCATTGCCAAACGGGGAATGAAAGAAGGGAGCTACCATGGCGGCTTGTGTGACATTGTAGGCACAGGAGGTGACTCACACAATACGTTCAATATCAGCACTACCTCATCTATTCTGGCAAGCTCTCTTCTCATGATTGGAAAGCATGGCAATAAAGCGTCTACATCGCGTTCTGGATCGGCAGATCTCCTTTCCTGCACACCACCAAAGGCCCCTGTCATCACCGCCGTTACCCCAAACACCATCCATGAAATCTACTCACAGACCAACTATGCCTTTTTGTTCGCGCCCATCTTCCATCCTGGTGCCAGGCATGCCGCTTCTATCCGGAAGCAGCTGGGCTGGCGAACCATCTTCAACCTCCTTGGTCCTCTGGCAAACCCCCTACACGAGCTAATCGAGGCCCGGGTGCTGGGCGTTGCTAGGAAAGAGATTGGGCCAGATTTTGCAGAGTCACTCAAGCAATCAGGGTCGAAGAAGGGTATGATTATTTGCGGCGATGAGGAACTTGATGAGCTATCGTGTGCTGGACCAACTCACTGCTGGCGCTTAGTTGAGAATGCTTCAACAGGCGATGTCGACATCAACTACTTCACCGTCAGCCCTGCCGACTTTGGGCTTCCTGAGCATCCTCTCAGTGAAGTTAGCCCGGGTCAATCCCCAGAACAGAATGCCGCCATCCTCATGAAGATTTTGAACGGCGAGGTCCCGCCTGACGACCCGATTCTGCATTTTGTCTACATCAACACAGCAGCCTTGTTTGTAGTAAGCGGTATCTGTGATGCTGATACAAGCAACATGGGAAAGGGCGATGACGGTAATGTCATCAAAGAAGTCGGGCCAGGTGGCGGACGCTGGAAGGAAGGTGTCCGGAGAGCAAAGTGGGCAATCACGAGTGGAGCAGCATACGAGGAGTGGCGAAAGTTTGTTCAAGTTACGAACAGTGTAGCATAAACTTTAGAAGCTCTCAATCATGCATATGAAGTTTGACTATTTGGAGTTGACATTGACCATTGGCTGAGGACCTGTTACGACGAAGTCAGTCAGTGCAAGGTGGATAAGATTGTCTGCTCAGTTTCAACTTGGTATCCACCTGGCGAGGTCTGTTGATACTCCTATTCGGAGTAAGATGCCAAGTGCTAGTGAATAGTTACTATTGCTTGAATCATTGCCATCTGTTTCTCGTCTTGAGTAGCGGATCATTGTTTCTCAGAAAAAGATAGTGAATAGTATAGCGACCTACTAGTGCTTGGTATAAAAATTAAAAAGAATTGATCTATCAAATCTCGGATACCACATTTGCACATCTCTACTTGGCTGTCTGCAGTATCTCGTACTCGTACTAAAGAGAACATATATCGGACAGCCGTCATAATAGCGGGCTGCTAGTAGATTACAGCCAAACCTATTCTTGGATTCGTCGCCACGTTTGAACTGTTTGTACAATTTCAACCACAGGAGGGTAAAAGCATTTCATGCGAGTCTCTTTCTAATGTTTCGAAAGCATTCAGGCGCTCTCTTGTAAATCTTGCAGGCCGTACACAGTACTGGCCGAAACACTCGACTATTCGAACCCCTTTTTCTTCAAAGCAGGTTACCTTTGTAATACGTCTGATGTCATGATATTGAGAACAACACTGCGACTGTGACCATATTATTTGTGCAAACCCATAATTCCTTTTTATACTAATGTATTACGCTAATGTAAATCTCTGAGCTGAAACCCCAAGGTTTCTGTGCAGACTTCTTATCCAAATATTCTTACTTTAACTGCGAATTCATTCTTTTTGATACCTGATTCTGGCAGGTTGGGCTGTAGCCTGCCATTCTTTTCTGAGATAATCAATCTGATACGCTATACGGCAAATGGATAGAAACATCTCAACCCATACTGCGTTCATGGATTATAAACTCAAATTCCAAAGACGCTGCTTTGTTGTCATACCTGAATCGCGAGCCTGATTAATACAGGTAACATAGTTTGCGTATATGCGAAGTAATATACATTGCAGAATTACAACCAGGGCTAGTCCCCTGGAAATGTCGATATTGTAACAAAACACGATCTAGACAAGTCAAGTGTAAAAATTTATCGAGTTGGCAGTGGTACGATACATGTCTCGGAAGACCAAAACGATTCGGGATATAAACTCCAAAGTATTCACACCCTGTCATACATCCCACTCCCTGTACATACCGAAGCATACTCAGCATCGAAACCGAAGCACTAGATTTTAACTTTCCCATCCCCCCATCTTGCAATCTTGGGCAAAACCAGTCCCTCGCATTCCCTCCCCGGAAGAGACATCAGCCATTCTTCCATCGCATTTCGCAACCCAACATCAAAACCCTTCACGACGGCCCTTCTCCGGCGCTCTTCAAAACACTCAAAACGTCATTCTTACCCTTACACTTATCCACCTACCCTACCCATCCGTAATCCCCACAGGGGGGATACGCGAAAGAACGCCCCTCTCAAACGCAACCTTATTCCGCCACCGTACCCATGGGTCCCGGGGGGGTTTAGAGACTTGGATTGAAGCCGGGATACCCTTTCTTTGATCCATCTCGGCGCCGCACACCCATGTAACCTTTAACTATTTCCCGGCATTGCTCGTTTGCTTACGGAGGTAAACTGTACCCTTACGGTGATTACCCAACCTTAACCCTTTGCTATCCCCGATGTACCCACCCCCCCCCCCCCCCCTGGTCTAATTCTCCCGGCCGCTTGCCTCGCCAATCCCGGCGTATAACCCTCTTTGACTACGATCGGGGCCGTTGACTCCCGCTTCTTACACAGTCTTACTAACAAACTTACTCACCCTGATTATTATGTCTTACCGGGGTTTGGGGTTTGCTCACGCAACCCATGTTTCCGCTGCCCGCTTCAATCGAATCCCATCACCCGCTCCGCGAAAACGCAAAACCCAAAGGGAATATGCGCTCATCCCGGATCTTTAGATCTACACATATACACCTGAGAATAGAGTTGCAGGGAAAGGAAAGTGTGCCGGGCGTATAAGCCAGGGTTGCTATGGCTATCTATAGCATGGGGCTGTGAAAAAAACATGGTAAAGTGAAGTCGTCAAGGATATAAGTGGAGATTAGGGTTACAATGAGATACAACAGTAAGGGATAGACAGAAGCCGCGGAAATTATAAAAGTGGGTTTTGAGGCTTGTGACACGGACGTTGGTTAGAGAGAGAAAGAGGTAAAAAAAAAGGTGCCCCGATATGATGTGGTGATTACAAAAATAACATGGGGAGGGTAAAATTACTCATGTTGCATGCATGGTATGTATGCAACATGTAAGTAACATCATGAAGTATACTTACCGCAATCTGCCCGCAAAGTGCAAGCGAAAAAGAAGAGAAGAAGGGTGGGGGAAAAAATTCAAGTCCGATAAGGCTCATGCAGAAGATGTCAGCAATCGCGACAATCGATGCGAAATGCTAAATCACCTAATAGTTAACTTTTTTGCTCACCGATTAAAGATAAACGGTGCTAGCTCCCCCCCAAAAAAACTTAACTCTCCTCCGTATCGAAGCATGAGAGCCATGTCAAAGAGAGAAAAAAAAGGAACAAGAAGAAAAGGTTGTTTTTACCAGGTATCCCGAAGGGAATAACGACACATGAGACAGACAGAGAGAGAGAGAGAGAGAGCGCAAAGGAAGCATGTATCCAGCTCCGCCCCCTTCCCACATACCCCTTGTCGTTGCTATTCCGGTGCTCCCCATTGGCTTACGGACGCCCGGCCAACATTCCCGGGGGAGGGAGGGACAAGGACAAGCAATTGCCAACACCCCGAGCATTTGTAAACGGCTGAATGCAAGAAAAGAGAGAGAGAGAGAGAGAGAGAGAAAAGGGACAGTTGCAGAAAAAGAAAAGAAAAGAAAAATGTAGGATCCACCACCATACCATAAGTGGAAGAAAATATTAAGCAAGCAAGGGGACTTTTCAATTTCCCTCCCCCTTGGGACGTCTTGTTTGCAAGTTACGAGGTAAAATGCACGTGTAGTCATACAAAGCACATGTACACTTACTTTCTTACTCTCTCTCTTTCTCTTTCTCTTTCTCTTTTATGCAACGGACTGGGGGAAGGGGGGAGGGTTGCTTTCAAACGTCGCCGACCTTTTTTACCAGCACGTTCTCCATACTAATAACTACGCTCACTATGGGGGCCGTATGTCATCGCATCCCCCGAGTCAAACAACACCCCATTCTACAGTACCTTCCACACACACGCGCGCGCGTCCATTCGCCAAACCCAGGCAAATAACTGCACTCGTCAAAGCAGGGCAACGCCTGCGGCTTGCCCCACCTTATACGAACGTTTTTTTCTCCTTAACCCGATCTGGGCTTCCCTGCCTCGATTCCCAACGGACCCCCCCACCTCGGGCGGAGGATTGGTTTATATACGTAATGTATGTTTATATGTATGTGAATATGTAGTATGAGCGAATAGTGGAGCAAAAGGATGGCACGCGCGCGTGTATGGATGTGTGTGTGAAGCAGGTTCGAGAAAAAAAAGGGACGAGAGACCCTGCAGCTACTTACTCATTTGTACTGTAACGTGATAAAAAGGGCAAGCCGCGAAAAAACGTGTTGGGGCAGGCTGGCTGGCTGGCTGGCTGCGGGAAAGGTGGGAGGGAGGGGTGTGGGGCGGGACAACGGTTTGTGATGTGTAGGATGTGTGTGTGCATATTGGGGGTGTAAGTATAGGGTAAGGTGGAGAGGACGTTGAGGGACGGGGAGAGGGGATGGTGAAGCCGAACCGAGCTTCGTTTTCGCGCTCCCGCTGTTCAACGTTCAACGCTCTCGCGTGCATACACGCGAGGTGGAAACAAGCGAGGTGTGTGTAGGGGTGGGGCGATGTGCTTGTGTGTGTGTGTGTGTGTATGTGTGGTGTGTACGGAGGAAATGGCCGAGTAGGCGAGGTATGGGAAGGGGAGATTGCTTGGACAGGAAGGATTGATGGCCTGACGCGCGAGAGCGGGAAGGAATAGATGCTGCTACTCGCTATTTGCTCGTCGGCACTGCCAGCCCGAAAAGGGTCGACGTTAAGGCTGGCCAGCAGTTAGGAAAGAAAAATCTGTCAATGACCTGATGTAAGAATTGCAAGGCGGGGAGGCGGGGAGATGGAGTAGAGACGCAACGACATGACAAGACATCAGATGAGATGGCGCGCATCGTCCCCACCACCAACTCGCCTTTCTTTCTTTCGCAAGGAGAAACTTGCAAGGCAAGAGTATGCGTGGATAGATTGCACGAGTAATCCTTTGGAAAAAAAACTTGAATCAAGGTGTTCGGACTTATTTTTCCAAGGAAAGAAGTATAAAATCGAAAGGATTGACCGGTGTGCGCATCGATCGAGCGCCTAAAAAAAAGGTCCGGAAGAGGATCCGTTGTGCGAGTACGAGCACGAGGCTGAGAAAAGGGTAGATTCGGTGTGTTTAGTAATAAACTGGGGTGTGAAAGGGAAAGATAGCCGCGTGTGCTGTGCATCACAACGACGTAAAACAAGCAACTTTGCACATTACTGTGTAACTTCCCCACGTACATACGCGCATGCCATCCGACCCATGAGTCAAAGAAAAATCAAATAAAAACAGGATTTTCGATGATGGGAGAGGGAGGCGGGGGAGCAAATTGACAAGCGGGAATGATGCCAATGAACCAGAATTCAAACGCATACAAAAGAAAAGATGGAATAAAATAAAACATAGACTAAGATGGAGGAGGGGGAGCTGGGAGCAGGTATAATGGCGTAGTTCACCAAACCCAGTACCGAACAAAAATAACGGTTCATCAACCACAGGCGCGCGCACGCACGCCCACTCTGGGAGCAAAAGCCGATTGATTGTCCAACCTGTGCGTTGCGCATCCCCGGATGCACAAACACATACCTACCAAGTCATTCCAGAAAAATACACTTTGTGGCTTTTGCTTTTCTTTCCTCTTTCTGTTGTTGCCATGGTTTGCGAGAGCGCCGCCACGAAACATGGATGGAGGGTAAGGGTTGGATACATGAACCGGGGTTGAATTGGTAGCAGCTCCGTACGTCTCGTAATCAACCGGAGCGAGGGTGTCGCATGAAGTGATGATTACAAAGGGTTTGCTTTGGCATACTTAGAGTTTAATGAGAGGTGAAGGAGGGCTTAGCGAGGTCGCGCAGTATGGACGGGGTTCCGATAGGTAAAGGACGTGCTAGTGGAGCGGGGAAAGGGGAGATTTTGGGGATTGGGGGAGGGGAGGGGAGGGTCTAGACAGGGCGTTTGTTGCTCTTGCTTTCTCGGCCAAAGAAGGCAATTGGTGATGCGGGACGAGAGATGGATGGAGATGGCTATGCTATTTTGCTGGGCACAGTCGGGGGATGCATCCGGACGGGGGGGAGATGCAAGTCATTGAAGTGCCCAAAAAAAAAGTTGGTTGTTACTGCACAAGGAAGTGGTTACCTGCAAGTGTTGAGGGCACAGGTTAACGGGAAGCTGCAAAAAAACTTGGCAGCGCGTGGCTATTTCCCCCGCTCGTCGGGAATAGTACGTGGAAGACGTAATTATTGGCAAAGGAACAAGAACTTGCAGAGAAAGAGAGAGCAACAAAAAAAGAGTAACTTCAACAATCTAAGTTGCTTCCCACGTGGATCTACTCTGCGGTAGCGTCGGCGGGGATGCGGGACAAGTGTTCATTCTTGGGGATGACACAGCAAGCAAGTGCAAGCAGGCCCGGCAACGGTCGGAAACGTCTGGTGGGAACCTGTTCCGTTCATGGTTGACGAATGGCCCGGTGGTGTTCGTGGTGGGGCCCGAGCTGACAAGTACCAGCTGGCTGCCAACTCCGCGGACGTCGTGTGCGGCTGGCTGGGCTGGCAGCCTCGCAGAAAAAACACCCCATGTTGCATAATGCGTCGCCCTTGTGTTTAGTCGTTTAGTCCCATTCCTTTCCGTTTCCTTTCTAGGTGCGTGTGTAGATAAAGTAGTGATGTGCACATAATCTTGGTAAAATAACTTGCGACGGAAGGCGTCAATGCATACAGTTTTGAGTTTGAAGCACACACAACAAAAAAAAAAACTGCCGTAGCGCAAACGGGGTAGTGGAAGCGATCTCAGCCTGCTAGGGCCAGCCAATGGTGTGTCGCAGATGCTCCCTCTCGCAGAGACCGAGGATTGTCGGAACGGTTTTGTGGCACTGAAACGCAGCTCGAGGCTTACCTCTCTAAGCAGCTATATACGAGTAACATAGAGCTAATGGAGATAACGCGCGTACCCCTCGCGACAACTCGTACGACAAACGTGCAGCACATCTGCATATCATGGGGATCATGCTTGTTACTGTCTATTGTTGCAACAATTGACGCAAAAAACTACCGAGAACAGCTCAAGGGTCCGTTCTCTTCTCAGCCATCCGCCAAGACATGGGAGCCCAAAAAAAGCAAGTGGGCACGACATGATTAGGCATATGTGTACACGGTATGTTTCCCGAAAAGCCAGGGTCTGTCGCAAAGTCGATGAGAGGACGGCTTCTGAAGCCGAAAGCGAAAATAATCATTAAAAACGGGCGGAAGCGGAGGGGAAGGGGCTGAGGGGGAGGAGGGGGAGGGGGGGAAAGGGTGCGCACTTGGTCAACGGGCTTACTACCATCGCACATGCCGAAAGACTAAGGGACCACCATGTGTGATGTGTACTTATGTAGGAGTACGGGGGTATGCGAACAATAGCGCATTCGCAGAGTTAGTTTATCGAACTTGAGCGTGCAAGACTGATAATAGACGAGAAGTTGCAGACGCTACTTGATAAATAAACGTCGAGAGGGGGTCACTGGGGGGATTTGCAGTGGTTGCCTGCATGAACGCCATACCGGATGGGTAGCGGCTGTGGTTGTGATTTGGTCCAAAGGTTTTGTGGCGCCTTGAGAGATCGAGATCGGAATTTCATGCCAAGGCCCAAAATGCTCATCTGGCGCAGGAGCAATTTTTTTTCTCCAAATAGGCCGAGTGGATCCGACGCAGCGCTTGTGGCGTAAGGTTCAATGACGTATCGTGTAGCAGAGAGATCGAGATTCGCACACACACTGTCGGGCCTTGATTCAGAAACAAACAATGGTGGAAATGGCTAGCAAAGCATGTGTTCCAGGGCAGGCTCAGAGTAAGGTCCAAGTGACAAAGGACGTGGCTCTGGGGGGGTGGGAGTGGGATCAAGAGGTGCCGGCAGCTTTTGCGCTTGTTCATGCAGCAGAGGGGATCGCATATGCAGGGTCTCTGTAGAGGATGGAGGAATGGACGGATAGCTGAACAGTGGTTGCGGTTGCGAGATTGCGCAAGCGAAGACGCATCAAAGAAGCAATCTAGGTTTCACGAGATGCTGGGCAATCGCATCGGGAGGGCGATTGACGAGGGAAAACAATCGTCGAGGGTCCTGCTACCACGGTAGAGGGCGAGGGTTAGCCCCGCGGGTGAGGGGGACAGAGTATTGGTTGAGGGCACAGGGCGGGCAGGCAGGTAGACAGGTAGGCAGGCAGGCAAGCAGTAAGATGGTTATAGCATGTGCGTACTATAATGTATATGCAAGCAAGCCAGGCAAAGCAAGTGCACGCACAGTGTTGTAGAGTAAGTAATACTTGGACACGTATGTACCGCATTGTCCGGCATGACCATGAGATTGTAGACACATGGAAGGCGGGAGGATCGCGATGCATCGGGGAGAGGAGGGGAGGGGGGGTCTTACACGTGGACCGGAGGCGGCTCTGGTGACGCGAAAGAGACTTTTTTTTCCCGCTCTCTTTCCTGCATTCCAGGCGACGGGAAAGCGGAGGGTCGAGGCCGAAATGGCAGGATTGCGGTGTCACGGCGGACAAGGCGGTCGCCAGAAGTGTATCGCGGGCTGCTGTTTTGGGAGTCGGCAGGTGCGCAGGGACTGGGGCAGTGGGTAGCAATGACATCAGCGTGTGTAAGAGATAGCGAGGGCCCGGGTCAGGCGGCGGCGGGAAAGGGGGACTTTTGCTGGGCCCTGCATGGTGCTTTGGTGGGCTTTGGAGGAAAGAGGGCAGATTACTTGGGTGTGGGATCGCGATCGCAGGTGAGAGAGTTGGAAAAGGACCGGATGCAGGCTGGAAGGGCTGTGGTGCAAAAGCAACGGGGTCGGGCTAGGGTGTGAGGATCAGGTCGATGTGGTGCCAAAACCCGATGAGGGGAGGAGCAGCAGGCCCGGGGTGCACGGCTACCGTTTGGCGTCCGCGTGGAGCGTGGTGGGCAGAGGGCCAGAGGGGTCTATGGGTCTGACGAGGGCTGCGGGCTAGCAGGGGGCTAGTAGGGGCAGACAGCTGCTCCAGGGGCTGTGGCGCAGGAGACTGGCTGGCGGGCGGGGCGACGTCATTGGGAGCCGCGCCGCAATCGATCCCCACCCGATTGCCCGATCACTGTTGAACGTCGACGCACGCGCCTTGCCTCTTTGGGCCGTAGCGGAAACGGGCGAGCAGGGGTGCGCGGACAGGGATGGAGGAGCGGAGAAGACCCTGATCTCTGGATTACATCAGACATCACGACGTTTATGCCGCCCCGTCCATTTTGCCAGTACCGACACGCAGACCCTGGCCTGCTGGCCCGCAGAACGCCCGCCCTCCGCCCTGCTTGCAGAAACACGGCAGCCTCTGCCGCCACCGCCTCGCGCTGCACCTGCCCACCAGCCGAGGGCAACACAAGGGAGAAGGTGGCTGCTGCTACGGCACATGTGTACATACAGGTGCAGTGCAGTGCGGTGCGGTGCGGTGTAGACGTGGATGCGTGGGTGGTGTGTAATGGGCTTGTTGAGGGGCACATGCCTGTGTGTCTGTAGTATGGATGCGAGTACGTACGTGTGTGTGGGCGCACCGTGCAAAGAACCAGAACAACAACAACTGACTGGGAATAATAAGAAGAACAAGAATAATAACAAGAATAACAACAACAATAACATCATCATCATCATCATCACCCACACACTTACTACTCGCTCATGCTGATGCTCATGACACGCACCCACTCCCGCACCGGCACCCACACACTCTTTTTCTCTCTCTCTGTTTCTCTCTCTCTCTCTCTCTCACACACACACACACACACACCCTCTCTCTTTCCCGTGTATTACTTGCCTACCGCCTTCGTCCGGCAAATGGTCGAGTGCCTTGTCCGAGGAGCGACAAGCAGGAAAAGCGTGAGTTGGCAGGCGGGCAGGCGGGCAGGCGGGAGAGCAGTTGCAGCCCGAGGGCTGGTGCTCACTCCCACTCTGGTGTGCCCACTGCCTACTGCCCAGTGGCATTCACCCCCAATTGACGAGATCGCGATCTGTCGTCCTGGCACGGCACCACTCCGCCGCGCAGCATTGGCCGAGAGTTGTGCTTGGGCGGCGGCAGGTCTTGTCTGGGGTTGCTTTTGTCTTGATCGCCCGCGCTGCTGCACCTCTGCCCCCAAGCAGCCGGCTCAACAGCACGAGAAGCTTTGGGGGGCGTCGCCCTCGATCGCCGGCTGTGTAGCGCCATGCCAGGCGTAAGATGAGCTGACGCCACCTGGTGCTGGTGCGCATGCTTCCTGGTCGCGCGTCGCCTCGCCAGAAGCTGATCGCCGGGGCCCCTGCTCCTTCACCGCGCTAGCGTCCTAGGGCGCACTGCACTTTCCCATCTCCACGCATGCAATTCTCAGTCCCTGATAGTGCCCTGATCCCGGGTGGGCGAACCCTGTGCCTTTTGCCCTGCTTGTGCCTGCCCATTATAACTGCCCACCCACGCCCGCCCAACTGTCTGGTGCTGCTGCCAGATCCCTCTTCCCTATCCATCATCACCATCACCCATTACCACCCACAACCAACCCACCACCATACTTGTTGCCCATTCACCACCCCACCGCCCTCTTCAACAACGTCATCCACAACGCTCTCTACCGCGGCTTGCTCTCTTGCACACTGCTGCTGCTGTTGCTGCTACCACTACCACTACCACTACTACCACCATCGCTACCACTGCTGCTAGCCACTTCTGCTGCTGCTGCTGCTGCTGCCGCTGCCCGCCTCGCCTACCACTTTCACGTGCTTGCCTGTCTGCCCCGTCTGCGCCTGCCTTTGCTCTGCGTCCTGCACTGCCTTCTTTGCACACGCACTGCACTGCACCGCACTGCACCGCACTGCACCGCGCCGCACAACCCCCTCTCGCTCTCTCCACATTACCCGTGAATTTCATCACCTCCCTTCCTTCGCACCGGCACGTGTCTGCTCAAAATGGACGCCTTGTCCGGCAAGAATTCGACAGGTCGCAGAGTGTCTTTGCTAAACGACGGCCCGGCGCCTCCACCTCAACTTGTCCGACTCCCCTCCATTACTCCTTCCCTCCAGTCCCGCACCTCAGCTTATTCGTCACCTGCTGCCTCACCACCAACCCCACGCCTGGTCCGCAGCGATTCTTCAGACTCAAACATGCAGACTCCCTCACCCATTACTCCAGACTTTGCTTTTGAGCAGGGCATGGATTCGCCCGTCTTTTCGCAAAATGGCTTCTTCCCCTCGCAAAAGGATCTCAGCTACTCCATGCACCAGCCACAAACGGCCCCGATGCCCTACCCACCCCAGCCGGGCTACTTCAACAACAGGCCCGACCATCTTCAGGACCCGCACCATCAGCAACACCAGCAGCTCTCGGAGCCCTCGGCCCTTAACGCACGCCCAAAGAAGAACAGTTACCCATGCCCAATGGCCAAGCAATTTGGCTGCAACGACTACTTCACCACCTCAGGCCACGCTGCGCGCCACGCCAAGAAGCACACAGGCAAAAAGGACGCCTTCTGCCCCGAGTGCAACAAGGCCTTCACCCGCAAGGACAACATGGAGCAGCACCGCCGCACCCACCAGACCGGTCGCAACGCCGCCAAGGGCGCCGACCGCGACGTCAAAAAGGCAAAGCACCAGGCCAAGCGTCCCAAGCCAGCGCCTCTGCAGTCGACGATGCCTTCCCTGTCATCGCTCTCCATGGTCGACCCCACCCTGCCTGTCAGTCCTGCTACGGCGTCATACATGGCTCCCTCAGTACAATCGTCCGACTCCTTTCTCGACTTTTCAAACTCACAACATCGCTCGCCGTACCCCGACCCCACTCCTTACAGCTACAACCCTAGCTCGTATGGCGGTCTAGACGCCTTGGCCATTGCCGCCAGCGGAGAGAAGCGCAAGTTTGAATCGTAACTCGCTTTGTCACTCGCCTCTCGGTGTCTAGTTTCTGTTCTTCTTTTTTTTCGTCTCACGCTTGTCATCACTTTTTCTGGTCTACGGCACGAGGCTCAACAACCTCTGGAGCAAGGCGCTTACGGCTATGATCAGCATCTAATGGAGTTTTTTTTTTACTAAAAAAGGCCGTTTTGGAAGAAATAGACGCACGCCGTCATGGCTACAAACGGATCTCGGCGTTTCATTTGAGTGGGCGGTGCGATTTGCTCGCACGCACGCATGACCTTTTCCTTACGTTTTCTTATTGCTTTGTCATTTCCTTTGTATATACCTTTACGGCAGTCACGCCTTCTTTACAGACATGTTTTTTTCTTTCTTCTTCTCGTTTCAATACGGTGGTAGCGCTACCATGATGACGGCCAATTGGGTGGATGAGGGCTTCAATCATAGGGACGTGGGCTTGGAACTGGTAATATGGATACCCGCCCTTTTTTGCAAGGTGCACCGACCTTTGATTTTTGTCTTGATTTGGACCACATGTGGCACTGGCCCTCCGAGGACGACTGAGAGGGGTGTCTGTTACAGACGATCACCCCCCTCTTGTCCGCTACTCGGATAATAGCAATGAAAACAATTACATATACACATTACATGGCTCGTCCCTGCTGGCAAGGTTGCTTGGTGTATATAGGTGCATAGTTTTGTCAGTGCTCCCTAACGCAAAGTGGCTTGGTAGTCTCAACAATATGTCTGTAACCATGGAAAGGCGTCGTGGACAAATGCTCCATCAAGGTCGCCAACCAGGGCGCCAGCTGTGGCCTTGCAGACGCAGAGCACATGCAATAGTGACGATGACGACGGGTAATCAGACTACAGCCTGGTAGCCCGCTGTCATTCCGCAATCTTGTTACTAAGGCCATCTGCCGTCGGCTTGCCATGGTTCGCAGCGTGTCTAGCCTTTTTCTCCTCACCTGCTATCCACTCTTGGCCGCTATGCGGCGCCTCACAAAGCTTATTTTGGCGCGCTGCCATCTGTGAGTCGCTGCGGCGTACTCTCCCCGCAGGCTACCCAAGAACCGATGCAAGCCAACGGCTAATTCTCAATTCTTTGTTTCCAATCCCAGCCTGCCTACCGCTTGCCTGTAACTCTTACGTTGGAAAAAAAATTCCACTAGTTCGTGCAGGCCGGCTCCCCCCCTCCAAGAAATGCAGACCCTGCAGATCGCCCTTCAACATCTCGGTCGAAGCCCTGAAGATCTGCACATGAGGCCTCATTGGGTAGGCTGTCCGTTCCGGTCTTTGCCATTGGCCTGCCCCCTCGTCGGGTAAACTAATCCCTCCAGCCCACACGCATTGCTGCTGCTGCTGCTACTACTACAACGCTTTGCATTACCAAATTTACAGTCAAGGACATGCCTACAAGGAGATTACACCTAGATAATGCTAAAGTTGCGCCGCAGTACACTCTTACGGACAAGAGCCGACAGCCCGCTACGACGGACTCAGCAATGCCCCGAGCGGTTACACGCGCACTGCACTTTGGGCCTACCCTAGCACACCTTGCACACCTCTTGTGCTCCGTCTTCTGACGTCCGAGGAACCCGTCTGGTGCGCATTCTTGGACGTCACACCATCCCCCCCCCCCGGTCTGACAATATCTTCTTCATTGCTTTTGGCCCTTGCTCTGTCGTTATCGGCCTTTGTTATTTTGCTGACTGTTCCATGTTTTGCATTTGCATGTCCATCCGGCTGCTTACGGATCTGTACGGCTTTGGGCATGGTGCGTCCAATTAGAGCGAGCCCTATACGCTAAATTGCAACGAATCAAGCTGACCAGCGACCGTAATCATCACCTCAAGGCTGGAACCAACTGCTATCCCCAGTCAAATCTTGGGACCGAAAGCTGTGTCACTCTAGGCTTCCACCATCCACCATGTGCATGCCCTGCTTCAGCTAGGCGGCCGATTTGCATCTACGATAAGGTTTGCAGACAGAGTCGTTCTCGATGCGACCACCACTCATATCCAACTCCTACACTAAGACGAGAACTACCAAAATTCGCATATCGATACGTGCACTTGAAATCGTGGACCCCGTGCATGATTGCGTCTGTTGGCGGCAACCTCCGCGGCAGCAAGCCTCCACGGCCGCAGCGGCTGCTTACATGTACCTTTTTTTTCTTTTTTTCTTTACCCCCCCAAAAAGCCTCTCAATTTTCCTCGTCGGTCCATTCTGTCTATACGTAACACAATATCCGCGGATTCGCTGATCACTGCATCTGTACAGTCCACCTCTCTCCCCTACCTCCAAATGAAATGCACTTGATACTCGATTACCACGGCATCCCCTGCAACACAACAGGTCCCCCGCACCACTCATTCCCATTTCTTACACGCCCTCCCCGCACGTTGCCACGGTCGGCCCTTGGTCGGCGCCGGGCACAGAACCGGTTGGCATATTGTAAGACATGGCCACATCAGCCACCCCCCCTGGCCCCGAAATAGTAGCTGAGCACGCATGGCCGTACGTAGGCGAGTTTGCGGGGAAACGA